AGAATAAGAATGTCTTCACGGAGACTTGTTTGTTTGTTGTTTAACACGTCCCTCTCGTGAATTTTTCACTCATATGGAGACGCCAACACTTGCCGGTGGAGGGCTGCAAATTTTGACATATACTCGGCACATAGGGCCATTGGGCAGTGAGGGATCTTTTTCGTGCCAACACCTACTGCGACACGGGACCTCGGTTTATACGGTCTCAACCGAAGGATCGGCCTCCACGTCCCGCAGTGGATTCGAACCCGCGTTGTAAAGATTAACTTCTTACATCGCGACTCTAGAGCAAACGCTCTACATAAGCTCTATATAACCACTGCGCCACGCGGGCGACCACAGAGTCTTCTTGTAATTGAATGTGGACGTCATAGAGATGTTGTACAGCACGAACGTGTCTGTGAACTTTTTAAACCTTTCTTTATCGATATTGATACTTGCAGACATTCGTTATATGTTTGAAATATTCATTATAATTGATTGCACAATTCTTCAAGAAAAATAGGATGAAATGGATGGTTTATATCAGAAAGAGCTGTGTCAGATCTATGGTGTTAGTACGCTGCTCGTAACTTAAAAGAGACGTATTTATTGTTTACTTGTGTTAATAAGTTATCAATAAAACAATCGTAAAAGCATAACGGCAAAAGAAATATTTCATAAAATAACAGCTACAGAAATCCAGCTTTACAACATTTACTATAGTTTACTATAGTTAACTATAGTAAATAATTTGATACTTTGGTTTACAATGAAACTTTAATCTACAGCTTTTGATTTGTTTTGTTTTCTTTCGTTTTCTTTTGTTTTGTTTGTTTGTTTTTGTTTTTTTTTTTAAATTCAGGATTATACAAGATATATATAATTTTTTTTTTATTGAATGTAAGACTTGGTGAGGAAATAAAATATTACAATTTGAAGATCATGGTCAAAATACTTTGATTTACTTTAGTAGATCGTTGATTTTACTATAGTAAAAACTTTGATACTAAAGCAAGCTATAGTTAACTATAGTAAACTAAACTAGAGTATGTGGTATGAAAAGGAGACTCAATGTTATCGAATCTCCATTTCTGAAAAATAATGAAAACCTTGCAAATTTTAACCTTACTTTAATATTTAAAATATTAAATATTTTATAGAATATAAAAAATAAAATAATTAGAAACAAAATCGCTCCATTTCCTACACAAACTATAACTTCGTATGAAACAAAGGCACTTAATGTTTTATTGGAAATTTTTTTCACAAATTATATTTATTCCACTTATTCATCATGTTTACATTAGGAAAAAATCGTGAAAACCCAAAATAATCGTTCCACACACAAAAATACATTATAAGAGAGAAAGGCATGCCACTCCGGTTTCTTTACGTTGTACCCCCACTGCATGGTCTTTCTGGGTTTAAAAACATGTATTTATTTTATTTTAACCTAAAATGTCGGTTCACACTGTCTCTACATATATGTCTCTACATATCCCACAATTAATCCTTAAACATCATTGCAGTCAGTGCGTTGAAAAATCCTTAGGTAAACGCAACGGAAGTGCATAGAGAATACACTGTATATTACCTATTATTAAAACACCCGAGAGAGATTATTACGTCAGGCCAAAACTCTCTCTCGGACGTTATCGTAATAAGTGATACATTCTCGGTGTACTTCCGTTGCGTTTACCTAAGGATTTTTCAACGCACTGACTGCAATGGTGTTTAAGGATTAATTGTGGGATTTTTTACGAGATGCAGGGTCAATCCGATAGCATGAACTAAGACAGAAATATATGTAGAGACAGTGTGAACCGACATTTTAGGTTAAAATAAAATAAATACATGTTTTTAAACCCAGAAAGACCAGTGGGGGTACAACGTAAACAAACCGGAGTGGCATACTTTTCTCTCTTATAATGTATAGTGGGGTATTTTTGTGTGTGGAACGATTATTTTGGGGTTTTCACGATTTTTTCCTAATGTAAACATGATGAATAAGTGGAATAAATATAATTTGTGAAAAAAAATGTCCAACAAGCCCCGGGGTTGAATATTTGGGGGGGGGGGGGGGGGGGGTTCCTGTCCACAATTACCTGTGACTCGGTCATATTTGCGAAAAGTAAATTTTGCTGAGACCGTTTTACGTAAAATTTCAATGTGAATCTTAATTGAATGATTCAAGTTTAATTGCATCAAAATATTTTTCTACAAATTTTGACACTTCTAAGTCTTACATTGATGAGTCCTTTTACAGAACACACAATTATGAATGAGACGGCAGTTGCAAATGACGTGGAGTACATTACCACGAAGGGGACTTCAAGTTCCACAGGGTTCCTCACGGTATTTCCTATCATATTGTCCCTATTCATTATAGTTGGAAATAGCATGGTAATTGGTGCCTGCAATCACTTCTCCAAGAAGAATAGCAATACACTCGCCTTTATTCTTCATCTGTCCATCGCAGATGTTGCTACTGGGATTGGAATGGTTTGCAACGTGTTCATGAGAATACATGGCGATATATTGTATTACAAAATTCCATGTCTACTTTCCTATGAAATTTTCTTTACAATGGCTTTGATATCCGTGAACTTGCTGGCTTGCACGACTTTTGACCGATTTCTTTCCATTTGTAAGCGTGAGAAACATCAGAAGTGGAATACAGGGAAATCGGTGAAAGCCCAGATTTGCTGCTCCTACTTCATTGGAATTCTGGTTGGACTCTTGCCATTTATGGGCCTTAACCAATGGAAAAGTGGAATGACGTGCACTTTTAAGGACCTTTACCCTCCAGAATTGTATCTTGTAAAGGCCACGGTCATGTTTCTTGGATTCGGCGTCAGTTTTATCCTTTATATCTTTATTTTACGGAAAGCATGGCAAGTACAAAGCGGAAGACATTTTCAAGTTTCACGGGTTGCAGCCATGAGACAAAGAAACGGCTTCCTACTTGCCAAATTGGTCGGAATTGTGACAATATTGAACACCATTTGCTGGATGCCTTATTCCTTGATAACCGTCATGTTTGGGATAACTTATCAGGCAGTCAGTGCCAGATATCTGGACTTTGCTCTCTTGCTTCTAGGGTTTGCCAACTCTCTGATCAATCCTGTGATTTACGCGTGGAACAGGCGGGACTTTCGTGCAGTGTGGCGAAAATGGTTCCGTTGCAGAACGGAGGTTAAGAACGATAACAACTTACCTCGGCGTGCGATATTTGTTACTACGGAAACTACTCACAACAAAAATGCTTGACATTTTCCAATGAAGCACCATGCAGGCTGTGTTGTTGAAATATTTTGAAAATAGTTTTTTTGGACCATAACCTAGGAATCCTTGGTTGGGATGAATTCAGACTTGAGTATGTAGCTACTGACGACCTGAATACATAATATGATCTCAACTGAAGATCAAAGTCAAGGGCATGTGTCAATGGTCTGGAGTACAATTTGAGAAGGTTTATATTTTGAAAAAGACATAGATTTCTGTTCTGAATCAAATGTTTTTATTGTCCAAGTATTTTCTCGGTAATAGCAAGAGTTTTTCTTGTTAATTTAATAATTTATTAAGTAAGCTTAATTTATCCTTTTGCAAGTTGTAAATTTAAGTTGAGAAAACCAAACAGCAGTTTATTATATGCTTTAAATAATATATTACAGCACAAGCAGTGTACAACATTATTACTGCTTTATTCAGCCAATTTTACTATTTATTTTACTCCGTCGTATTAAATAATATGTACTTAATATAAGCATTTTCTCAGCACTATAAGGTATAAAAAATGTCCACAATCTTTAAGATAATCCTTGTTTCTATGGTTCATCGTACCAACACATTATTTCATTCAAAATTACAAGATACACCAAATTTCATAACTTTAGTTATTCATTTGTCCTCATTTATCGCATTCCACTTAAAGGACAATTCTTTCTTTTTTAATCCTTTGTACTTTACACTATTTTGCTTGCAATGTCATAATATATTAACTTAGTTACTTTAAGAAATGCATAATTACATCTAGAAATCAATGTTCATGGGATGTACCTGTATATATATCTTTTGCTAAGGGGATATAGAATGAAAATAGTTACGATAGGTGGCGTCCTCGGGAGTATAAATTACGCAATATATGTTTGCATCTGCTCCAAAACCAATTAAACTGGGGTAGCCATGGAGACGGAAGAAAAAAAAGAAATGTTGTTATTCCAATTTTTTAATAACACTAATTAAATCACAAGCTATTAATCTGAATCCTCTAATGGTGCACACTACTCATGCTATCCATGAACACCTTTTTTTTTTTTTTTAATTTTTATGTTCTGTAATCGAAGATTCGGGGGCTTATAATTTTTGCTGTGTCTGTCCTTTCGTTTGTCTGTCTGTCTGTTTGTCCGCAATATATTTAACCTTGCCAATAGCTTTTAATTTGTTGGAGCTATAGCTTTAATATTACACATGTATATTCTTGTGACGATAAGTTGGAGGTGGAGTGTTTGAATTTCATAATATCTGCACACGATACTTGTAAAAATGCATATATATACACAGCCTGTTAGATGTATTAGGACAAAGAAAATTAAGATTAGAATTCATTTAGTTTCCAGAATGTTTGTTCAGTCGTTCATAAGGATCAAAGAATTGAAATATTTTTTCAACCCAAGGATGCTGTACACTGTATATATTTAGTTGTTCAGCTAAAAAATTCCGAGTTTATCCACGATATAATAAATATATACGTATTCCTTGGAATACACTAGTTAACGAAATGAAATTTAGTTAAAATGTTCTGAAGTAATACTGCTTACTATGCTATGTTATGTGGAGACAAAATGTTTTCAGAGTTTCTTTTCAAATATTTGGTTGCAAATCTTCAATTTGCCGTAGCCTAAAAAATGAAGACCCAGTATTACCTCGCCAAAGAAAATCCTGGTATCATACATTTACATATTTGCCTAAGCCCATACACATAACCGATTATTAAATAATATAATGATAACAACACATAGATATCAGATACTTATTAGGGAGTTATAATACAGTTATCTATCTACGCCTGCGTCCAGTTCCCCATGTACCGCAAGGTGGCGCAACATTCTGAGGCCAATTACAGTTCTGCATGGATTCGTCAAACACAACACCTTCAAATATAAACATTTTAAAAGAAGATAATAAATGGAAGTTTGAATCCTGGAGCTGATGCTATATCTATGTACAACTTCTCTTCTTTCTTACCTGGGCTACAGAAGTTGTGACCAAAGTAAACTCCCCCATGGCAGGTGTAATAAGATTTACAATTATTGAAAAGATCAGGGTATCTCTTGTCTGTCTTCCCGGTACAATCTCTCCACTCTCCACAAGGTGCAGGAACGTTGGATGGTCTTTAAAAAAGGGGGAAATTAGACTGTCATTGAACAGTAATAGATGTGTATTCGTATACGTAGTGTGTGTCCCTATACCTCGGGCTAGGCCTCCGCCGTATCCGTATAACACGAAGAAACCACGATAGTTATTCTATAATTAACATAGATGTTGTAGAAAAACGTCTTTTCTCGATCCCTAATCGGTCCCAAAGGGTGAAAATAAAAAATATGAAACATTACTGCACATCTACAGGACAACACCAATCATATTTCAAGCTATGACATATTTAAAATGTAAGAATATGGTTTTGTGTTTTACAAAAAGTCGATTTCCGACCCCATATTGGCCTCCAGGAACAAAATGAAAATTCCGCAACCATCTTACACATCTACGAGACACCACCAATCATAATCAAAAAACACGATCTTGCTGCTGCATAAAGTGTAAGGAGTTCTGGGAATCAAGTTTTGCAGACAGACGTCATTTTCAACCCCTTATATTTATAGGCCTCCAGGATTAAAATAAAAACCCAAAAACCTTTTTTGCACATCTACAGAACAGCCCCAATTATATTCCAAAAGATGAATTGATTAGAGTTTGAGGAAGAATTTAGTGTGAAGGACGGGGATAGCAAGAAGGCAAATATCATAAAGAGTAGGCATTGATTAACCCTCGCAATTTTATTAAATTTGAGTACTCCAGTTTTTTTTTCTTCAATTATTAACTATTAACTTTGTATAATAGAAACACCTATAACAGCTTTTCTAAACGGTTTATTAAGTTTTCTAAAGACTTTTAAATAAAGATGTACCTTGGTGAAAATATTTGTATTACCTTTACCTTCATATGACTTTTAACTTATTGAATCCGTACTCTCTAAAGAAAATTCTGGTATATTGTTGTTATCCTGGTCCGTCCGTCTATCTCAGTATCTTCTTCCTCAAACGTTTCTTACATTTTACACAGTGGCCAAATCATCTTTTGGAATATGATTGGAGGTGTCTTTGGATGTGCAAATAAGTTTTGGAATTTCCATTTTCATTATTTGGGCCAATTGGATTTCGAAAAACCGACGTTTTTTCTCCAAAACTTGATTCCCAGAACTCATCATCTTTCATTTTATGCAGTAGCTAAATCATGGTGGTGCCCTGTAGATATATACTAATGTTTAGGGATTTCCATTTTCAATCTGGGGCCAATTTGGGGTGGTGAAACAGCGTTTTCTACAGAAACCATGTTTTTATAACTCCTCTTACATCTTATGCAGTATATATTCCAGTCATCTTTTGATATATGACTTGTGTCCTGTAGATATGCAATAAGATTTTGGAATTTTCCTTTTCACTCTAGTGACCAACTGGGTTTGAAAAATGACATTTTCTACCAAAACCTGCAAGGTTCCCCGAACTCATTACAAATATCGCTAAAGAACCCATCTGAAGATATGGTTTTGATATCTGGAAAAAAAAACAACTAGTCCTTCATGCTCAGTTCAGATGGATTAAGACATTCAAAATTGGAAAAAGAGAGTTTAAAAATCGCAGTTAAACTGACCGATCAAAATCTAGGGACACCAAAAAATATCTAATGCTGTGAGCAACATAATGTCTAAAAATGCCAGACTTATAGTGAAAAACAATAACAAAACACTGAACATTTCATCACCACAACCGTTTATTGAGTTCTGACAAGGAAATGAATTCAAATAAAATATTTCTGTATACGTAAGACGGGTGCCTTAATTATTTCCTCACAGATGCCTAAACGAAAGTTGCTTTTAATATACCATGAGTAAGGCAAGCCCTTTTGCTATTTATTCGGAAAATAAAATATCACTTAACATAGCAGAGATATCTCTTATTTTAGAGAGATATATCTTAAAAACAGAGATATCTCTCAACTTAAAGAGATATCTCTTAACTTAAAGAGATATCATGAGTGTGCGATTTTTTTTTTAACAAAACAAGGTATGATAATATAAACTTGGACAATGGGTGACAAAACAGGTACATTTTTTTTATATCCCAGAAGAATATGAATAATAAAATGCGGAAGCAGAGAGGAAGCTGTTCCTATGATTGCAAAGAGAAGTTTAAGCTCCAAACAGATTTTCTTTATAATCGAGAGGTCCATTTTCTTACAGCCAAAGGAAGACCCATCAATGACGGCTTTTATGTTAAAATTTTATAGAGGAAAATTAAGCAGGTTTAATGACTGTAAGGAAAGTCCAAATACCGGTCCTTAGTGTGATTTTCCATGTACCTGAAAACTGCTACAAATAAGCATAGAGGTATAAAGGAAATTTTGAAAAAAGAGACGTATACAGGCCTTAGCCATTTTCCGTATTTGCTAGATCTCATTCATTGCGACATACTTTTATTCTGACAGGGATGTGCAATTAGCATCGCCCGACGCCCGGGGCTACCATTTCTTGGGGTCGGGCTAGTAGTTTTCTGAACGGAGGTAGCCCCTTGGGCTAGTAAAAATTAAAACTACACGTATAATTTCAAAAAACGATCATTTTTTTCTAATCCGAATTTCCTCCATTCCTCTGTTTATAGTAAATACATGCAGATATCTCATTAAATTATTTAAGATCACTCAATCAAATGAAAGATAAATGTTATGTGCTTTACACATAATATATTTGTGAGAATTAAACTTTGATTTTAAAAAGAATGACATTAAAGCCCTGACTTTTTCAACAATAAACTATTTTTTTCAATACTAATTGTTATTCCCCCTACATTTGGGCTAGTAACTTTTTACTTGGGGCTAGTAACTTTATTGCTGCCACTAGCCCGTGGGCTAGTGCTTAATTTCTGTAATTGCACACCCCTGATTCTAAAAACTCTGAAAACCATCAAAGGAATTAAGACGATACCATTTTGGAATCCGTCTTAGGGAATGCCATTCATCAGTGTCCTTGGGGTATCCTTAGAGAAGAATATTTTGGGGCGTTGCGGTCTTGGGTACAGAGAAGTAAGACATGCTTAATGGTTAACAGGGAATATTTCGAGGGGATAAATATGTAAAATGCTTTACGTGCTTTTCTTATTTTTTTGATGACCTTTTGCATTATTTGTTGAAGGCCCTTCGTACACTATATATGTTTAAGATTCTTCATGGGCACTTCTACTGTGACAAGCCATAAGTAATAGATCTAAATACATGTAATGTCCTTAACCAAAGTGAACTGAAGTAAAAACTCTAAGTATTTAATTGCAGCATGTGAGCATGCGTCAGACCAGATTTCAATGTATATATGTATATTATACCATCCGTGCTATACTATTATAAATCCTACAAAGTTCCTTTATAGAAAAAATGCACTCTTAAATGCAGCGTCTCCTCTCGAAATATAACAGCAAGGGGGGGGGGGGGGGGCATAATATAACATTTTCCTTGAGGAATTCTTGTCCTGCACCCAGTATGGAGAGAAACAAAACTTCCTATCGATAAGTTTAATCATATTCCTTAATATAATTTATATCTTACTGGTCGCATGTTTTTGTCCTGGAGTTGAAGACCGTGTTAGTAGCAGGAGGGTCCGGACAATTATGTATCACTCCGCGCTGGTTGTGACAAACGACGTACGACCGACAACCAACTTCATACACCCCATTAGATTTCCCGATACACTGGTCTGCTGATGCCACATAGGCTAAAATTATAAAATTAAACTTTTATAATTAACCATTTATTCTTTGCTTTCCTCTTTTCCTCTGGGACGATTATGCTCACACAGAATTTTATTTATTTATTTATTTTTAGAAATTTCCCTGCCAAGAGAAAAAATTATTTCTGAATTCAGAAGCACAGTCCTGATGATGATCAAAACAAAAACGTCTTTGAGGATTTATAATCCTTTAGCGGAATATATACAGAGGAGCTCAAAAAATCAATATTATAATAGACCGTCACGCAAGAGGTAACGAATGATATCTAGTTGATGAATTCAATTGAAAAGTAACTCACCAAGTAAAGTAAATAGTAAACCGGTAAGCATGCTAGAAAAAGTCCTCCTCAATAAAAACAGACTACAGCACCTGTGTTCCTTATCAAGATTCACTGACTATTTATTTCCTTGTTCTGAGAATTATATATAATGTGCAAGTAAAGTAGGTGCAGGGGACATTCGATATGATCTTGACGTGACTTTGAGGTCAAAACCACTGGAGTAAGTTTAGAATTCCCCAATATCATTGGAAATTCCTACTTTTATGATAGACTTGTATGTGCCCTCACAATGCCGCTACGTCGCTTGGTTATCGTCCCTTGCTCCCATGCTTTAAGCCTTAATTGTCGTGAATTTTGGTTGGAAAGGCTCTTTTGATTAGCTAAATTAAAATCGTGACATCGACACTTCTACGTTTTGGATTCTAATTGTGACCTCATTCGGCATCGGGGAATGGGGGTGGGGTGGGGGGACTTGAAATCTACACTTCATATTAAGAACTATAGTTATCAATTCATGTAATTGATATGATAATGGTATTTTTTTAAATATATTTCTGTAAAACGTAACTTACAGGCAAGGGAATGAGAATGCGAGGACAACAAAACCAAACGTAAGGCGAGCAGAAGAAAAATGTTATGGTCGAGGGAGCGATAGGCCTAAGGACCCCGCTCCCTTGTGTTCTCGGTCAAGTATCATCAACCATGAACAAAGATGTATAGTTTTAAATGTCTCTGAAAATGAAACAAAACTTTCAAGATGTACACGCCGATGCTATTAACTGTACCCCAAAAACGATATATTCCACAGTAAAATTGTGAAAATCAGTCTATCAATGGAGTAAATGTTCCAACTGAAAAATTGTATCTGAGAACTAGACGGTATTCAACACGATTTTATTCCCATTCACTCTGGTGGGTGCACGTGAGCTATCGAGCACCAGGGCAATTTCCGGACAGCATGTTTTTGCAGAGGACCAGACACTAATTCCTTTGGAATTACGTGTACCAATAGAAATTTCAAGTGTAATAGAAATTTGGAGGTAATGAATTTTTTATTTGGTATTATTTTAGTAGCAATAGTCTGTGCATAGTAATGAAGCGTCAAACTTCAAGGTTTATTGACAGTCTGATAAGAGTAATAACTCTCAATTGGAATTTTAAAATAACCATCATATCTTCATAAAATTGTCAAATAAAAAGGTAATATCTGTTAAATTTTGCCCCGCAAGGTATGTTTGTGTATATTATAATCATAAATTGAATTTTCTTTTAGGAAATCATTAGCATTAAAGAGGGATGAGGAACCTTAATTGAAATGCAGTTCCATTTTGGTCCTTTTAGTGGTCAAACATCGGCAATAAGAACCTCTATAGAAGTAGGCACAACTCACCATCACAGAATACAAACGTGACAGATCACAAAGGAAACGTACCAAGACCGGTCCAGACTTGAGATCAACAGAAAAGAACAATATTAGGCCTCAAGAAAAACTGGGTTAACATAGCTGGAAAAAATTATTATAAGGAGGTAAAACAAGATGTGTTTGTGAAACACTGATGCCCCCATATGGCAGCTTATGGCAAAGGTTAAAGTTTCTCAAATGCAAGTCAAAATCCAGGCCAAAAGATAAAAAAATGTTGGTACCCAAAGAAAGGTCTTGTCTCGAGGAATATACCTGTGAAATGTGAAAGACCTAGCTGCAACTGTTCAAAAGTTTTGGCAAAGGTTAAAGTTTTTTAAAAGTAAGTAAAATGTCAAGGTCAAAGTGGTTGGTATCCAAAGGAAGGTCTTGTCACAAGGATTACATATGTGAAGTATGAAAGCCTTAGCACCAACCATTCAAAAGTTATGGCCAAGGTTAAAGTTTTTCAAAAGTAGGTCAAACTCCTATGTCAAGGTCAAAGGGTCAAAGTGGTTGGTATTCAAAGGAAGGTTATGTCACAAGTAGGGTTGGATACCGGTACTCGGTACCAATACCGTCAGGGATAGACATTAACTTTCAGACTTACTTGCCCTTCGGGCAAGTGAACTCAAACTTTGACTTGTCCGAATGCAAAACTTGGTTGCCCAAAATTTAGAAAGAAGAGAACCGGTATCTTAATTTTTTATTGTAAATAAAGTGAGATCTTACTTTATATTTGGCAAGATAAGTGCCAGAAAAAATTTGATGTGCTGCTCATTTTAAATTTTAAATACTTGTAAACTCACACTACCATGCAGCAATATTTCCCATAAAATAACATTCATATTTTTAAATTTATTTTTGTGCGATCTTTTTGCGAATCTTGATTTTTTTTTCCATGAAAAAGGGGAAACAGTTGCCATGCTTACATATTCTGATTAGAATACATCGTGCACCGAGAATAACTATTCTTTACATTCTGTGAGTTAATAAATAAACTATTTTATGTATCTTATTTCATAATAAGAATGTATTTAGAAAGTTGTCAGACGGAAAGCATATTTTTGTCAACTACCACGAAAGAAAAACGGAATAATGAACCCGATTTTTCAAACGCTACTGAGGAATTTACGAATGCAAAACAATGTCATATGCCTGGTAGAAATCAAATGTTCAATTTATTGTTTTGTTTATAAACTAATGAAAGATATAAAAAAAAATCTATCAGAAATATTAACTTGCCCGATCGGACAAGTACATAACAATTTCACTTGCCCGAACTGAGAATTTACTTGCCCCGGGCAATCGGACAACCGTTAATGTCGATCCCTGACCGTACCGAATAGTTACTTCAAAAATACCGGTAAAATACCGTTTCATTTAATACCGGTACTAATAACGATACTTCTTAATCTTTAAAACATTTTAGTTCGTTCAATTTGATTTAAAAAATAAACATTCCAAACTTGCTAAAATCGAATTCTCCGCTCTTTGAAAGGGTAGGCTAATTACTTGTAACGAAATGGATTCTTAGAAAGATACTTACTTTCGACTGCCGATATTCGAGGTAAATCAATACGTATATTTTTTTTTTATAAATCAAAATACATTCACATGAATCTTATTTTAATTTTATAGATAAAAACTGATAATAAATGTAAATTATAAAGGTAAAATGTCGCAAAATGTGATCTATCCATTATCTAATGTTTTGTCATTTAGTGCGACCAAACAACAGGGGTCCTGACAACCGGGTGAAGCAGTCAGCCGATTTGTGCAAATTAATTTGTTTGGGATTCAATTGATTTGTTTTGTTGATCATTTATTTATTGAAAAGTTGAAATGAAATGTTTGTAATTTGAATATTAGGAATATCTATTTTTATATCTTAAAAGCATGGAACAAAGTTTATAAGCTCACTTTTGATTATATCATTGAAAGGTTAGTGAATGGTAAAAGCACATTTGTTATAAAATGAACCCTCATTCTTATTCATCAATGCATAGTACCGTATCGTTAAAAATACCGTATCGTTTCAAAAATACCGGTATGGTATCGTACCGTTTCATCCTTAACGGTGTCCAACCCTAGTCACAAGAATTACATATGTGAAGTATGAAAGCCCTAGCATCAACCATTCAAAAGTTATGGCTAAGGTTAAAGTTTTTCAAAAGTAGGTCAAACTCCTAGGTCAAGGTCAAAAGGTCAAAGTGGTTGGTATCCAAAAACAAGAGACCCATGGGCCACATTGCTCACCTGAGCACATTGGCTAGGCAAAAGCACAACTCAGTTCAGGGGGGGAGGGGGGCTTGAATTTTAAACTACCTGATGATGCTTCCATGTCAAAATAACAAATGGCTTTGTTGTACTTGAGAAGGTTTTAAAAAAATTTTTGTCATATATTCCTTTTTAAAAATTTGATCCCCCATTGTGGCTCCTCACTATCCCAGGGGTCATCATTTGAACAAACTTGAATTTACACTACCTGAGGATGCTTCCATATCAATATGACTAAACATAGCTTTTCTGTTCTTGAGAAGAAATATTTTTTCTATATGTTCTTATGTAAACTTTCAATCCCCCTATTGGGCCCCAACCTACCCCTGGGGGTCATCATTTGAACAAAATTGAATTTACACTACCTGAGGATGCTTCCATATCAAAATGACTAATCATGGCTTTGCAGTTCTTCCTCAGAAGAAATCTTCCTATATATTTCTATTCCAGACTTTGATCCTCCATTGTGGCCCCACCCTACCTCAGGGGGGTCAACTTTTGAACAAATTTGAATCTACACTACCTGAGGATACTTCCCCATAAATATGATCAATCAGGGCTTTGCTGATATTGAGAAGAAGATTTTTAAAGATTTTTCCTATATGTTTCTATGTAAAACTTTGATCCTCCATTGTGGCCTGCCCTACCCCCAGGGGGTCAGGATTTGAATAAATTTGAATCTACACTACCTGAGGATGCTTCCATATAAATATGACTCATCACGGCTTTGCTGTTCTTGAGAAGAAGATTTTCAAAGGTTTTCCCATTTATTTCTATGTAAAACTTTGATCCTCAACCGTGGCCCCGCCCTACCCCTGGCGGTCATGATTTGAACAAATTTGAATCTACACTGCCTGAGGATGCTTCCACATGAGTTTCCCTGGCTTTGTGGTTCTTGAGAAGAAGATGCTATTAATTTTTCACTTATTCTTTATTATCTCCCCTTGAAAGAAGGCGTGGCCCTTCATTTGAACAAACTTGAATCCCCTTCACCCAAGGATACTTTGTGGCAAGTTTGGTTGAAATTGGCCCAGTGGTTCTTGAGAAGAAGTCGAAAATGTGAAAAGTTTACAGGCAGACGGACAGACGGACTACAGACAAAATGTGATCAGAAAAGCTCACTTGAGCCTTCGGCTCAGGTGAGCTAAAAAAGGTCTTGTCACAAGGATTACATATGTGAAGTATGAAAGCCTTAGCTCCAACCATTCAAAAGTTTTGGCCAAGGTTAAAGTTTTTCAAAAGTAGGTCAAACTCCAAGGTCAAGGTGAAAAGGTCAAAGTTGTTGGTATTCAAAGGAAGGCCTTGTCACAAAGAATACACATGTGAAGCTTGAAACCCCAAGCACCAACTGTTCAGAAGTTATGGCCAAGGTTAAAGTCTCATAAAATTTTGCAGAAGTGGGTCAAACTCCAAGGTCAAGGTCAAAAGGTCAAATACGATGGTACCCAAAGAAAGGTCTTGTCACAAGGAATACACATGTGAAATATGAAAGTCATAGCTCCAACCAATCAAAAGTTATGGGCAAGGTTAAAGTTGACAACAGACAGACAGACAAATGGAGAAACAGACAGACAGGACAAAAACAATATACCCCCAGGATCTTTCGATCCTGGGGCATAAAAAAGAGCAAAATATTCAAGTGTTGTCTTTTCATTTGAAGTCTTTTATTATTTTTTTGTGTGTGTAAATTTTAAAGCTTTCTTATGTCTTTTATGGATATATTAGTGCTACAGAACAGCACACAGACAAAGATCAACCCAATGATAAATAAAATTACCTATCAATGGTTTAGCACTTCTTTATTAAGTTTGCATCAACAAATATGTATAACTGACAAAATAACAATCAAAATCAACTCTCTCTTTCACTCTCTTCTATAATATCCCCAGAAATGAATTGATGGTATAAAATACCACAACACAACATTCCACAATATGTTTTTTCAGTCAATATCTTTGTCTTCAACATTTGGTCCAATGCTTTCTTCATCATCTGCATCTTCATCTGTATTTTCATCTTCATTATCATCACTATGATCATCTTCATTCTGACTTAAGATGTGTTTATTTTCACTCAAATCATTGAAATCATTTTCTGTCTGTTTTTCACTTTGAAATGCTTGTTCTCTTCCTTTTTTACTTAAACAAGACTTTGTCTTGGGTCCACTTAACCAGTAGTAATCATTCAATGATGAAATGTTTGATAAAGAATCTTCCCCAGAGCCTTTGACTTCAAGATCTGATTGTTCTGCAAGTTTCACATTGTCCTTTTTCTGTGAAAGCAGTGAGGGATTTGTGATGGGACTCTGCTTTTGGGGGTCTCCAGTGTCATGATAAACTAAGGAGGGGCCCCACCCACGAGTCACTGACAGGTGTTCACTGCTAAAGGGTCGAGGAACGTGAATATTGGTGTACATTTTATATGTCTCGCTATGTCCAGTCCGAATGGCATCAGTCCAGCTCATTCCCATCTGATACATCTGTGAATTATCAATAATATAACTTTCAATCATTCCTAATACTTAGTACTAGAGTCTGGCTGTAGCCCTGAACTTCTGTGACAAAAATTATACATTTGGTTAGGACTGTACAATTATAATCACATTCATGTGGCTTGTCTCCTAAAAGTTCAGGAGTAAAGAAGATGAGGGACATTGTGTTATATATTCCAATATACAAGTTAGCCCTACCTTGAGGATATACAAGTTAGCCCTACCTTGAGAATATACAAGTTAGCACTACCTTGAGGCCTCGTCATAAGGGCATCTACGGTATTTTATATGTTTTGTAGAGGACTAGCTGCTTATTATCAATAATCATGAGAACAGTTTGTCTGGTAGATGCCCAAGAGAAGAGAAAAAGATTTTTTAAGAGGTGAAATGTATTTTCAATTAATGATCAACTTAGCCCCACCTGTTATTGTTAACCCCTGAAGGCTAGATCCAGAAGGCATCAATTTCACAATTTTGATAAAGGTTAATTACTCATTGTAATCATGTAAACAGTTTTCCTAATACATGTCCATGAGTAAAGAAGAGATTTTCAACATTTTAACGTATTTTTCAATATCTGACCAACTTAGTCCCACCCTTGGGCCTGAAACAAGGGTCCATGGGCCACAAATTTCACAAGTTTGGTTTGGGATCATTATAATCTTGCTAAATGTTCCTTGAGTAAAGATTTTCAAGTTTGTTATGCATTTAAAATACATGGCCACCTTAGCCCCACCCCCGGGCCTGAATGCTGGATTCAGGGGACTAAAAAGTTTACAATTTTGGTAATGGTTTATGCTCTCATTGAATGTAATCTTAAAATCTTTTAGAAAAGATTTTTTTAAAGATGTGATAAATTTTCAATATATGACCAACTTAGTCCCAATCAAAGGCCTAACCCACTTGAAATTGCCCCGGGCAATGAATTTCACAATTATAACTAGTGGGTATTTTTTTTTTTTTTACAAAAAAAACACATGTCTCCCCTTCTTGACCAACATTAACGAGTGCAAATATATGATCAGGTCAAAAATAATAATGCAGATCATATCAACTCAAATTCTGTGTACAAAATTTCAAGTCTTCATGTCAAATGGATCTCAAGTAATGGTCTGGCCGTGTTTTTCTTAATTTGACCTTGAAGAAAGTGGTCAAGGTCAAATATTTTGATGCAGTGCATTTAGTCTCAATGTTGTCTTTCATTGTCCCAAGTTTGAAATCCTAATGTCAAAAAGTTCTCAAGCTATGACCTAGACTATATTTTCATGTAAAAGATTGCCCTTGACTTTATTAATAGGTCAAGGTGAAAAAAAAATGTTGGCATTCACCCTTCCTCTATACAACCTCTCCATGTTCCAAGTTTGAAGTCTTAATGTCAGGGTTCTCAAGTTACGGTCTAGTCGTGTTTGCTCTATTTGACCTTGAAGAAAGGGTCAAGGTCAAAATTTTGATGCGTTGCATCTTGTAACAATGTTTTCTTTCTATGTTAAAAGTTTGAAGTCCTAGTATCAAAGGGTACTCAAGCTAAGGCCTGGACTCTATTTTGTTGTAAAAGATTGACCTTGACCTTATAATAATTGAATCAAGATCAAAAATTTTGGTGGCATGCATCCCTCCTTTATACCACCTCTGCATGTTCCAAGTTTGAAGTCTTAATGTCAAAGGGTTCTCAAATTATGGTCAGATCACGTTTTTTTCTCTATTTGATCTTGAAGGCAGAAAGGGGTCAAGGTCAAAATTCTAAGGCAGTGCAACTTGTCTCAATGTCTTCTGCCTATGTTATAAGTTTGAAGTCCTAATATCAAAGGGATCTCAAGTTACGGGCTGAACTCTATTTTGATGTAAAAGATTGACCCTGACCTTATAAATAGGTCAAGGTCAAAAATTTTGGTGGTGTGCACTTTTTCTCAATGTCATCTATCTACATTCCAAGTTTGAAGTCTTAATATCAAAGGGTATTTAAGTTATGGCCTGGACAAAATTTGGATGAAGAAGAAGAATAAGAAAATCGACAAAAACAATATGTCTCCCCTGGAAGGGGAGACATAATACAAGGTTAAGAGGTTATTATAATCTTGCAAACAGTTTTCCCTTTAAAAGATGATTTTCAAAAACCTAATAAATTTTCAATATATATCACCAAGAAGGCCACATCCTGGGGCCTGAACCATAGGCCTGGTGCCATGAACTTCATTATTTTGGTAGAAAAGTAAGTGGTTATTATAATCATGGAAACAGTCTACCTGCTAACTGACCCTGAGTACAGAAGATGATTTTCAAAAGATGTAATACATGTACAATCAAAAGATGTAATGTATTTTCATGTTAAGACCAACAAAGCCCAAACTCATGACCCTGGGGTTATGAATTTGCAATTGGGTAAAAATTGAGTACATATTGTACTCATTGAATTATGCAAACAGTTTACCTGCTAGATATCCATGAGTAAAGAAGATTTTATAATATGTGATACATTGTCGATATAAGCATATGACTAACCCAAGGGCTATGAATTTCGAGGGCTCATTGTTTACTATACTGATGCCAACAGTTTGACTGCTTGATGTCCAGGAGTAATTAATTTTTATTGTTTTGGCCACACCCCTTGGGTCCCAGGGAGACAGACTCCATGTAACTCAAAAGTATTTGTTCCCCTACACCCATAGATTCTATATAGCAAAATTGGTTGAAACCAGTTCAGCAATTTCAGAGAAGAAGCTGCAAATGTTGAAAAAAAATTATGACCAGTGGACAATGGGTGACGACAGACAAAAACAGATAGCATAAGGTTACTTGAGTGACTCAGGTGACATAAAGAATGGATTATTCATTGCTTCATGTATGATTAAAAGTAGTTAACAATGTATGGCTTTTCACAAGGAAGAATACCAAACGTAATCAATAAACAACTATCTTAATAGTCGTAAAAGAACTCCTATTCTTCTGGGGGTTACTGACAGGGTAATGGTCATTAATTGTTATTCCAATCAGTTTCACAATGAATTCTGTGACGTCAATATGACTTTAATATAACTATAATTATCCTACTGATCAGTAATTACCTCCCCTGAATCTTCAGAACTGATTTTTCTAGGACGCCCCTTTTTATTTGGCAAGGATAACTGAAAGAGAAAAAAAATCTCATAAAAGGGTAGGTCTGTGAATGGACATCTCATTATAGGTTAGGTCTGTGATGGCTAATCACCAATTAATTATTGGGATTATATTTTCTAACTACTGTAGATTCCTTATTTTTCGAGAGTACATGTACTTTTTATCATGAAATGGCTCTTGAGCTTCTAATCGCGAGAACAATAATTCGCGAGTAGATGGTTCATCAAGAGATTTTACATTGATTTCAGCACCATAAAAATAAAAGTGAGTAATTATATTTCGCAAGTGGTGTTTCTCACGAAATTATGCAATAATTAATTCCTCGCATATATTAGAAATCTACAGTACATGTATTCAAATGGTAACAGTCTAGTGTCTAAAATGAACTTGACCAAACACTCCTTTTTTTCTCAAAAAGGGAATGACCAGTATGAACTTTTACTATGTATGGTACTACATGTTTGTGTACTACATATTAATATGATGTAGGATAAACACCATTAGTCAAAATACAATATATACCCCAGTAGGAGGGTGACAACAATTACCTGAAGATTATTAAGCTCTGTCTCATCAATGGCTTTTGATAAGGATTCATGACTGCTTGACATTAAGGACAAGTTTCTGGACACCTTTTCTTGTTTCTGATTATATTGTGACAGGATTTGCTTAAACTTTCAGTTTTGTCTTGATAGAAAAATATCAACACCTTAGGTAAATTCATATCAAGTTTGAGCTATTTTTATGCACCTATTCTGGAAAGGAAAAAAAATCATGTTTTTCAGCGAGAGTCAAATGTTATATTGGCCATTTTGGAAATATTACAGTACTTCCTTAAGACACCTAATGGGACATTTGTACCAATTTTGTGAAATGACAAAATGCAATGGTGAACTGTAAAGCTGCTTGCTTTTTTGCCTTTCAGTACGGTGATGAAATGACAGGAGATAGCTACTGAACTTCCTTAGTTACCTTCTGTTATCTCTATCTTGCACTCAAAACTTACTCTCACTCTTTTACATTCTCCTTCCTTCTGGACAGCATTGAAAAGAAGCAAGTAGCCCTATCATTACACCATGTGAAGCAACTATCCATATGACACAATTCTAAATAAAGGCTGTCCTTGGGGGGAAAAATTTACTTTTCACAGGACAATTTTTTTAAAGAAAATCTTTCATAAGCCTGTGGCTCTGGTACTCAGGAAAGTTAAGATTTTTTTAAACTCTGAAATAGTACCAGCTGACATATTGTTTTGTACTATACTTACTGGCAATTGTTGAAGTTCCATCTTTACTTCCTCTTTGAAATCAACACCTTGGTATACTGTAGTGATTACATTAAGGATAGTTCAATAATGTCAAATTCTTGTTTGTAGATGCGTTATATTGTAGGCCATACTAAGAATGATATAATTATCTCAACACAGATTTCGTCTATTGCTGTCCAGCATGTAAGGGGGGGGGGAGATAACATATTTTACAGTAAAAGTATTACAGACCACAAGAAGGCATTAGCAATCATTAGATTTAATAACATTACACAATTTACCAGGTACTTGAATAATATTTTCTTTGCCTACCAGAACAATGAAAGTTGTTTTTTTCTTAAGGTGGAATGCTACACCAAAGTTTTATTTAATGAATGTTTAAGATATCTCTTTTGAAATATGGTTTCAGCATGGAAAGATTGATATTAGCTCTTATTTATTTATAAGAATTTTTTTGCATTTTTTCAAAGAAAATGTAAAAATTCGTTTATTTGCAAATACGATGCTTTAGAGTCGAGTTTAAAATAAATTAAAAAATAAATATATCTATTTTTTTTATATTGTATCTAACTGAAAGGATATGTCTTGAACTTTCCTTTTCGCTTGATAATGACCAACGGAAAGACTATTCTGATAGCTCTGTTACACTGCATTCCCCAGTACAAGACATCTGGCTCATCAATGCGTTTATGTAACACCGTCAGAAGATCATCTCTGGACACCGAACATTCCATGTCATCCGAAAATTGTACAAGATCTTCAAAAGACAATTTTATATATAAGACACTTTGAACAGGTGTGGAGTGAACTTGATAAATCAAATATATACACAGATGAACATCTGCAAATGTTTTCTTTTATATAACATGATTTGAGCAAAGTATAACTATTACTGTATAGATCCAAACCGTCAATGACCACAAATTCATTGTAAAGTCATTAACAGTTTACTTAATTTCTCAGTGATGTAAAAAATGGTCAACATCTTCAATGGATTCAACATATAGCATTGAGATTTCTTTTATAAAAAAAAAAAAATGAGGAACTGTGAGCACGGAGCTCACAAAATGTAACCCCTTGCCTCCCATATGTTTATAATGGCAAAGTCCATGTCTTGATAGCTAGGAGACCCAAAATAAGCATCCGATCAAAAAGTAAAATAGGAGTGGAACAATGGCAGTATGTATTTAAGATTCTGTGAAAGTACCATTAAATTATATTCAGTGATATAGGAGGTGTTGTGGATAAGAGATGTTTGTACCATAGGACTGGCGGTAAATTTAGATTTTGCTTTGATGTTGCTGTGGTGTATATGCCAGAAGAATCACAGTTTTTTTTTAAGTCACGCCCACCTTTTGGCATCAAGCCATACTGTGACAAGACCTTGACTGATGAATGCATGATGTATTGTTAATTTCCAGACCTTGTCAATGGCTGATGAATGAATAAAGTCAACATTTTTAACAAAAATACTAACATTAGCCTGTCGATGTTCGCTTCATAAATGTTTTCTCCGCATATCCTTAATCAGTAAATGATACGTCCTAATTGTCGAATTCTCGTCATTCTCTTTCCCGTCTCCAAATACATATAGCAATTTCACATCAGAAGTTCCCGCATTTTTTTGTTTTTCTTTTTACGTCCAATACCATTTCAAATTTACATTAAAATGTCAGAAATCATTTCATTTTTTTCTGTACGCCAATTGCCATAAAGAAAATTTTCAATGGCGATGTTTCCCATCCCCATCGCCCCTTTTTTTCAAAAAAAAAAAAAAAAAAAAAAAAAAAAAAAAGATCTAGAAAGATAAATTTTCTTTCAGAGTTGATGGCCTGAATATAAAAGCTTACAATTGCTACCCCTGTACCTGATAAAAATCATGTTTTCTGCGTCTTCAACATTCCAAAGGTACAATATCTTCACACGTACCAATTCCGACCTTTTTTTTTTTTATCAACAATTAGCAGTAGCAGTGCCTCAGCTAAATATGATCCTTGCAGATGGAGACAGCTATTTATACAGACTCCGGACCGTGGCTTGACACCTCGTGGTAGGCGGTGCTAATTATCAACTTGCTTTTCTCTCACTGGTCCTCTGGTACAAGTAACTTATACAATAGATATTTTAAAATTGGTTAGCGGTAAATACACTCACAGTTTTTATTCACTCGGGACTCCGCCCCTCGTGAATGAAAAACTGTGAGTGTATTTACCGCTAACCAATTAATATCTATAGTGTAACTATAACATACCCCAAAGTGTAACAGAAGGACGGACGGGCACACAGACATACATACAGGCAGACGGACACCCCCATCACTATACACACCCCACCCCCACCAGCTTTTCAAGTGGGGGGTATAAAAATTTCAAGGTTTAATAACTGCAGAAATACTTGTTATAAGTCAATCTCAGGTGTAAATATAGTTAATAAGATATCATTTTTAATCAGATACATTTAGCCTAGGATGTAATCAAATCTACCATAAAAGTCTTAGGCTTTTACAGGATTGGATAATGTGCCCAATCTGTATCAAATCTTAAAATTCAGATCAGGATTCACTTTGACATATCTATGGTATTTCACAAATACTGTATACAGGGAAATTTTCGCCTTCGTTTTAATTTCACTCCTTTCACCCTAGACACAAGTGGGCGAATTTAAGATGGGGCGAATACAAAGTACCGTAAATACCTGGTAGTACAGTATATTTTCTTAAACAAAACTGTGACTGGGCGAAATTAAAATGGGGCTAAATTGTTTGCAAGTTTGAAAGGGCGAAATTTACTCAGGGCGAAAATAACCCTGTATACAGTAGATGCTGGGATTTCAAAGTTTAATTATATGTGTGGTACCAATATCTGTAGTTTGATGATTGTACATACTGTGAAGATGTTCCAGAATCTTCTCTAGATCCTGTGACATGTCTCTAAGGGGCTGATACTGCATTAACTCAGGGTCACTGAGATCGTCTGCTGGTTCCTGGACTTGCTCGATGAATGAAACACCAAAGAAATAAGTTCTTTTATAGTTAAGAAAGTCTAAAAATGTCAATATGTACATGCAATACTGTTTTGGCGGTAAGTATCAAAAAGGGATATAACTCATTTTACAGGACTAACAAGAGAGGTAGAACAATGCATTCAGAGAAATTTTCATTATCACAAAACATATATGCAACCAAGTTTAAAGTCTTGTAGAGAGCTTAAAGAAAAAAAAATAAGTGTCTCCTCTTTTTAAAAAAATATATCAAGGCCTTTTGTTCATGACTAGAATTTTTTAGTCTCTGTTATTGTAACTGTATCAATGCCAAATGATGTGACATCACAGTCTAGACTTTGTGTGTCTTTCATTATAACGAGCTATATAAAAGAGGGATCTATGTAAATAAGTGTATACATGATTGTATAAAGGTTTTGAATGTATTCTGTGATAAATACAACAGTACTCGCCCCAGTGGACAGATCTGAATACCTCTGAAATTTAGGAAATCGGGACTTGCTAGGTATTACTTTACCTCCTAAAAAACTGTCCAATGGAAATCTTGACCAATTACATCATCCCTCGTAATATCATGACATTTATTTTATAAATTTTGTGCAATAAAAAGTCCACTACTGGTGCCATTAATATTATTATATAAGGATACTTTTTGAACTTCCCCTTTCTTTGAGCTAGTGTGTCTGGAAAGATTTCTCGGACAGCCCGGTTACAAGCAGGGCCCCAGTGGATGGCCTCAGGTAACTGGGCTACAGAACTTATCTTCTGAAGCAGGAGATCTCGGGAAACGTTACCCTTTGGGAACAGACAGATCAAATCTACAATGTAAACAAACTGTAATTAAAAATATCCACTTTAAATTTTTTTAAATTCTAGACTTGAGAATTTTTGTAATATTGGGAGATAGGTCTTGACATGAAAATAAATTCTTGTAAAAAAATCTCCAATTAATTTGACTAAACTTTTTAAATTAAATAATACATGTATGTATATATAATTTTAAGAGTTATCCTTCCTGGCTGAGGATCAGATATCCTTAAGATCTAGATTTATTTCTTTGACAGAGGAATGTTAAGTTAGGGGTATTTATTTCAGAACCGGTCAAGTCTTTAAACTTATCTGTTTGTCAGATTTTAATGTATACTTTTCATTACATAATTACAAATTCAAATTTTAATTCTACAGTGACAAAATCAGGAATATTCAAAATTCATATTGTAGAAAGACATTAAATCCAATATTTTTAAAAAAGGAACATGAGGGTCTGAGGTTAACAGATAGAACTGTGACTCTAATTATCACTTGATCACAAGTCTGCATGTGTCATTGATAAAAACTGCAATATGTCTAGACAAGTAAATAAGTATAAAAACCAGTGCTCCATACCTGATTATCGATCAGTTTCAACATACTACTTCACTATATTAACTAATTTTCACTATGATTGTATGAAAAATATTACATTAAATATGATATTTTCTAATTTTTTGTTAAACATTCTTTACAAGAATGTGTTCAAAGGGGAATAACTTGCAAAGTTACCTGTCAAACATTCCTTGATTTTGTTCACTTTCCATAACTCCTTCCCTTCACTTCCAAAAAGTGGACCCTGCTCGTTCACTGAATTTCCTTGCTCATGTTGAAACTCAAAATGAGTCCTGTATTCCTGAATTTTGTTACATCCAAATGAGCATAAGGAGCACCTATACATGAATTCCGAATCAGATTTTGAAAGCTCTGGACAGAATGGGGGTCCTCCTGGAGGAGAAATATGGGGACTGCTTGATGAAATAGATTTACTGTTTGGGTATGAAAGTCGATCTAAAAATGGCAGTGGTGAATCTATGGTCTTCTTCCCTTTTTCTACAGACTTATTGCTCAAATTCCATAAAATTTGATTATGAATTTGATTGTACAGACCAAAAGGAAATTTTGTAGGATCTTCATCTCTGTAGCCTATTGAGGAAAGTGTCATTGATGGATTTCCTGGATTATGATAGCCCTGTATGTGATTACTGTCAGAATCGGAGTTCACATGTAAAGCAGGTCTGCAGGAGTTGTCTAACTTTGGCCTAACTTCAGCATTAGGACTTGGTTTATTCTCCTTTGAGTATCTTTTCTTCACAGGCGTCCTACCACTGTGAAAAGGTCTACTCCTACTTATGTCTGGAGAATCGGACTCAGAGTCACTGGACTGCCATCCATCTCGATCAGAACTTTGATTTCGTAGAGAAATGGGCACACTTCGTTTTCTCTTGTTTTGTCGCTCCGATTTATTTCTCTCTGAAATCACAGGAGAATGAACTGTAGAGAAGCCATTCACATTTTCCACTGATAAATTCACAGGACTTTCCGTCATTGAGTCGCACTGTTTTTCTTTACTATTCTGTTCCCTTTTCGGTGTCGGAGAGGGAGATTTTTCATCTCCCTGTTCTTCTGCGCATTTTAGTTTCTCCTTGTGAACTTTTCCTTGACAATGACTTTGGAAATGGGACTTAATCTGTGACTTCCAATTACATACTTGACAAAAATACACAATATTTCCTCCCTCTCTTACAAGTTTTGTAAACTTTCCGAATTCTGGTGTGAATCCAGGAGAGAAAATCATACTGTTCCCAGCAGGCTTAGATCTGGTAGAATTCACTGCCAAAATTTGGTCAGCCACTGCATGAATTTTGGACAAATTGTTTGTACATGGATGCTGACGGACAGAGTTTTCTAGTCCATACTCAATATTGACCTTTGGTCTGCTCTCGGGCCATGAAGGCTCCATCACATCAGAGACATTCTGGCCATCAAGATTCATCATAAAAGGTCTCTCCATTGATTGAGCTGATATGTTTGTGATTTCACTGTTTACTTTGTGACCAATGGAGCTGTATTTGTCACACTCTGTGTTAATCATATTAACACATTTTTCGTCTTTCTCCACTTCTTTTTCCTGCTTGGAGATTGAGGACTCGTCAGCAGACGTGACTTCCTCGTCCTGTGGATGGGAATCTGGATCCTCTTCCCCCTTAAATGCAACGTCAACACAGTGAGATGACTTTGAGTGGGCATAGAGGTCCTCCTCTGTTTCGAAACTTAGAGAACACACAGGGCATCTTGTGAGATTCTGCTTAAAGTGTTGACCTTTGACATGAGATACAAAGCTATTTTTGGAGGTCAGGATCGAGGGCAGGGTTGTACACAAAGTGCATTTGTACAAAATTTCAGCAAAGTTCATGATATTGTCCACTGACTCTGAAAAGGCTTTTTCAATCTCCATTGTGAAATATTTCCTTCCCTGTAACAGATAATTAAAGCACATGTTGGCTTAATTAACTGTGACATAATATTCTATTTCAGTTTAGTAAATTCTGAAACATTTGTGGTTTCCCTCTTTTATTTAACCATTTCCTTCATGCCCAATTTTTTCCATTGGAACCAAGTATAAAATAAAAACCAATAAAATTTAATAAATTTAAAAGTGTGTATGTGGGGGGGGGGGGGGGATTGATAGGAAAGACTACACAGGACTTTGTATTATGAATTTCATAAAGAAAAATACACTTTTATCTAATATCAATTTATTCATCTATCTATCTATATCTATTTTATATTATTTACCTTTCATGAAATTAAGAAAAATTTCAACCTCTGACAATAACTTAACAATTATTTGTGTTTATAAAGCATTTCATTGACTTTTTCAGGTTACACACACTACTAAATTTTTATGTACAACATTTTAAAATATTAATATTCGGTCGAATGTCTTGCCTAAGTTTTTTAATAAATCATTCCAGTGTAAAATTAATGACTTTTTCAATAAAATCATTAAAAAAATCATTTATGCTGTGTATATAATGTTCTGAACTCGAACTCTCTCTCTCCTGAAAAACATCTTTAAAGTGCAGACAAATAAATTTGATTGAACAACAAAAATACATGTTTAATATAACAAACATTTTTGTGTTGTTTTTTTTTATTTATAAATTTAATTCTTTTTTTTTTTACAACTCCAACTTTGGGTAAGATTATTTTTTTAATACCCCCTTTTTTCTAATTTGTATCCAGAACAATTTAGGAGGGGGCAAATCTGACTTATCATTTCCACGAATATTTCTGTTTGATACACATGATATAGGCAGGGGGTTTTTTTAGGTCTTAAAATCAAGGGCCTGGGCCTTTCCATTTGGGAAAAAATAGCGTCATTTAGTTAAGGAGGCTGGGAGGTCAACAAATTAACCACAAATTAACCACCAGATTTAACTTAATTTTTTAGATATGATATCTTAAGCTGTCAACTATCATTTGGCAAAGAAAAATTTCAAAAATTACAGTTTTAAAATTTGATCATTTTCTATATCTTCATATGGATCTCTTCTTCTAAAGGAGATCAATATAGTCTAAAAATGGCCACAACCCTTTAAAATTGGGAAAAATATCATAATCATATCATCATTTTTCGAGATAAATTCAAATAGGAGCCATTTTTTGATGTGCAAAGCATTTATTGACTAATTTATTTTGAAAATTTTGAAAAATTTATTGAAAATCAGCTTCACTTAATTGTTTGCTTTTCTGAAGTTTTATTTAATTTAAGTTTAATTTTTTTCGATTATATATATAACATTAATGTCATGTTTCGAATTGTCTTTTCGGAATTTTCTTCAATGAAATTGGGAAAAACACACACTTTTTACCATTGGGAATGGGGCCTATTACAGGCCCCCTACGACCCCTAAAAAAAACCCTGATAGGACAATCTTTTTCAAAACTTTTTCTGATTCTTCATTTGCATGGCTAATATATAAAAAAAATGTGCATCAGTTGTTCAATAGTCAGTTTCAGACTTCCTTCTATTGCAGTTTATGCATGAATTTGGTTTGAATTGGGGAAAAATGAACTTTGATAACTTCCTTCTTGGTAACATCTGCTCAGTGCTTTTCCTTTTTATAATAAAAAAAAATCTGAAATCTCTGAGAGAAAAAATATATACCTGTATTAAAAAGATGTGTTTATAATTGATCTATTTTCTAACACATACATTTTGGTCATATTCTTACAGTTTCTTCATTAATTCTTTTTTTTTCTTCCTTATATTATCAAATAAAAATTTTTAAATGAATTACTGCATGAAAATATTTAATAAACACTACTTTTTCTCATCAGTATTTTAAAAGATATGAAGAACATTGTACACCTATGTGTACAATGTAGTCTTTATTAATCTTAAATGAGACCCATTTTCATCTCCTTTTTTCGCCGTTCCTACATTTTTTTTTTCCTTATTGACTCAAAGACAGAGAGATGAACAGTTAAGTCACTTACCAGTGAAAGAAAAGTAGAGTGAATCTGCCCGCTTACCAATCTCCTCTGAAAGAAAAATTAATATGCTTCCTTTTAACACTCATGTTGTGAAAAGAAATTGCTAGACGCCAGTCTTATTTACTGACAATGTTGTGTACAGCTACAAACATGAGAAGATAGCTAAAGCGACTGACCTTTAAAAATCATTGAAATGCAGACATAAAGCCAGACAGGGATCTCTGTCTGTCTGCCGTGCATTATCACATTTACACAAACTTGCACCGAAGATGCTACCATTTCATGATGGTATCAGCTGGAAAATCGAATTGCTTGGCACAAAACGAGACGTCTGGCGCCGTTAGAAGTTTGTGAAAAAGATTCTGTCTGATATTGGGTCGTTAGCTCCGCCAAAGCCGCCAGCCAGCGCGCGTGACCTCTCTGTCAACATACACACAGTACCTAACAGCCATTCAGCGGGCCGGCGTCTCGCTGGCGCGACAGATGTCTGGACGACCAGATCACTTGGCGAATATCCGAGCCAGTGCAGCCGATCGCTAAGTCTGGAGTGCAACGTTTACAGAAGATCTTTGTTAAACGATATTAAAAAAAGGAACTACTTATGAACTTAATTATTAGACTGTCTTCTCTTATGATCATAGTGCTTGAAATACAAAGCGCGTGGTTTTGTTTACTTCCGGAAAGAGGAGGAGCTATCCAATTACTGATGGTGCACTCTCGTCCCAGCAGGTGCGCGAAATTTACTGAAGCATTACAAATTCTTAATCAGACAGCTAAATTATTTTTTTTTCAATATAATTATTATTCGTAATACGAAAGCCGGATAGGCTCATTTTTGACAAGAGAAAAAAATATTTAACTCGTTATAACGAGATAATTATCTCGTAATAACGAGTTAGTATCTCGTTATAACGAGTTAGTTATCTCGTTATAACGAATTAGTTATCTCGTTATAACGAGTTAGTTATCTCGTTATAACGAGAAAATTATCTCGTTATAACGAGTTAGTATCTCGTTATAACGAGTTAGTATCTCGTTATAACGAGTTAGTATTTCGTTATAACGAGTTAGTATCTCGTTATAACGAGTTAGTTATCTCGTTATAATGAGTTAGTATTTCGTTATAACGAGTTAGTATCTCGTTATAACGAGTTAGTTATCTCGTTATAACGAGATAATTATCTCGTTATAACGAGTTATCTCGTTATAACGAGTTAGTTATCTCGTTATAACGAGTTAGTTATCTCGTTATAACGAGTTAGTATCTCGTTATAACGAGTTAGTATTTCGTTATAACGAGTTAGTTATCTCGTTATAACGAGATAATTATCTCGTTATAACGAATTAGTTATCTCGTTATAACGAGATAATTATCTCGTTATAACGAGATAATTATCTCGTTATAACGAGATAAAAATTGATCTAGAATTGATATATTTAAGTAAAGAATAGACCATTATTTATAGGAAATATACAGAAGCAAGTCGATCAAATTTGTTGAAGTGTGCGTGATAAAGATTCTATGGAACAGCATACTAGTTTTTTTGTGTTATACCTTTGATTAGTATTGTTTATTGGAAAGACCGAAGACAAATATACGGAAACTTGTGACCGCCTCATGTTGTTGTGTTATACCTTAAAATTGCAAAATAAAATTAGTGTCATCTTCAAATGGAATGTATATAAGATCAAAATTTTGTCAACTTGTACAAGGAGATCAGAAAAAAATGATATACTCTGGCTGATTTAACTGCCCTGTTCAAGCTTTCTTGAATTTGTTAAAATTATAATAATGTTTGCGTAATATTTGTCGCAATAAAAAATGCATAGAAATAATCCCATTATTTTGAATATTCCGAATAAATCATGTGGATATGAAACCATTTGTTAGGCTTTAACGATCATATTTTGATAATTCCTTGCCTGTTAACAAGGAATACCAGTTCAATTTTATCGTCTTAAAGGGGCAAGATCAAAATTCAATGTCTGACAAAAAAATAAATTCACGTTGTTTTTATCATCAATCCCTCCTTCCCCTCAATAATAAATATGATGAATATCAAGAACTAATACTGTACTTATCACTTAATAATTTATATATTTCTTCTGTTTATTAAAAGAAAGAAACATTTTAATTTACCAATTTGGCATGGAATTTTAAATTACAATATGTAATTTTTGCGTTATTATCAATGTGGTAGAATTAAAAAAAACTTTTTGGAGCTCTTTATTCTACGGAAGCCACAATAAAAGGTGAAAGTCAGCATTAGTAAAAACAGTTGACATGTGATCCTTTTTGGGTATAGAATGAAAGTTTAATATCTAAAGTTTACAATATGATAAGCATTACTTAAGGTGTATTTCAAGCATAAATTTTGCCAAGAAATGTGATTTTTGATATTTTCACTCGTGCTTCGCACTCATGAAAATAAAAAAAAAATCCCTGTCCCACTCGTGAAATAAATTCCATATCAACTACAAAACATTGAATATCCTCTATTTATTACCCCCCCCCCTCCGAAAAAAAAAATCATCAATCTCTTTTTGAAATAAAAATTATATGCTTGTAAAGTATACATAATAAATATTGTGATGAGGAAAATAATTAACGACATTGCTTCAATGTTGTATTAATAATATAAATGTACATATGTAGCATTAGGCCTATTCGTTGATCAATCCTAAGTAAAAAGATTATAAAAGTGAACTGGCTTTGTAAACTCTGTAAACTTTTTTTGTTTTGTAAACTCTGGTTTGACGTTCTGACACTATGTGGTAAACATATAGGATCCGCCAAATAGACGTGAATCTCAAATAGGTCTCCGTGAATCTCCACAACTTGGACCCCCCCCCCCCCGCAAAAAATATAAACAGTGAATCATGACAGAATATTAGATAAAATGCCAATATCAGCAGATCAGATTTAACGTCTTATTACTTAAAAGGATGTAATATCATTTTTGCTTCACCATTCCTCATTTTGGCGGACAATATGCATAAGTCACGAAGTTCAAAGGGGGGGGGGGGGGGTAAACCAAGTAAAATATTTGACAAGTAAAAAAAATAGATTTGATATTCCAACTACGAGTATTCGCCATTATTTTCGGGAGATATTTACTCAGGTAAAAAAATATGGAGGAAGGGGCACGAAGATACTCTTGACCGCCCCCTTTTCAAAAGTGGTGGTGTGGACATTAGCCTCTCTATTACTACGCCTATGATCTAACTGCTGATGTCTCACCATCCCCCGTCTTCAAAACATTTCTGAATCTCAGAAGTAACATATGTATAACACTGTAATCTATATATTATATGTTGCATAAACGATATGTTGCACTTATATTGTCTCTGATATTTAATTTTAGCGGTATAGAAATTGATATATGAAAGTGTATACCAGTAAGTCGTCCAAAACATATCGAAATAGTGTCATTCATCAGAAATAGTTGTCATAAATAAATTGCCAAAGTTTGAAGCAAGTATGTTTGGCAATATTATTTTAAGAAAAAAATCGCGTCCTAATGCAACAATTTGAGGAAGAGTTCACGAAAATGTGTAAATGTGTTCGCCTTAGAGTTGCTATGATTATTGACAGCGAGATAGTTCAAGATTTAATCATAAGTAAACCCCAGAGCAAATTAAAATTTCAACCATTTATCAATTGTTCAAGTTAAATTTGACTGATAATTACTTGCTAAAAATTCAACGGCATTTAAAACTGCAGCCATTTTTATTCCTATATTGCTATTAAGTCTCGAAATAACCAGAAAACTGTCTCGTTATAACGACATAAATAACTCGTTAAAACGAGATAATTATCTCGTTATAACGAGTTAGTATCTCGTTATAACGAGATAATTATCTCGTTATAACGAGATAACTAACTCGTTATAACGAGATAACTAACTCGTTATAACGAGATACTAACTCGTTATAACGCGATAATTATCTCGTTATAACGAGATACTAACTCGTTATAACGAGATAACTAACTCGTTATAACGAGATAACTAACTCGTTATAACGAGATACTAACTCGTTATAAGGAGATAACTATCTCGTTATAACGAGTTAATTATTTTTTTATCTTGTCAAAAATGAGCCTATCCGGCTTTCGTAATTTTGCACAATTACAAAGAGACAAAAAAAATTAAATGAAATAATGTATATTAAAAAAATGTTTTAAAAAAATCTATGATTTTATGGAGATCTATAACAAATTGTCTGTCATTCGTAGACTGTGAATGTGTATTATAACATGCAAAAATGCGTAATAAAAAGGGGTAACGACGAAAAAAAAAGTATAATAATTGTGCCTTTTCGAAAGGCGAAGTAAAAGGGCATATACGCATATAAAGGCATAATTCACGTGAATGAAAAGGCATCCCAACACGAATTAAAAGGCATTGAAATGCATTATAACACAAAAATAGGCACTGTCGTGTTTTTGTAGGGGCGTTAAATTTTGCCTTTTTGGGACTGAACAATGCGAGCAATTGAAACGGTAATAACAGAATTTTTAAAAAAAAGTATTATTCCTTTCAAAGGCGTAATAAGGTGTAGTAAAAAGGCGTGTTAATAAATGCAATAACAGGCGTAATAATGCAAATAAAAGGCGTATTAACGCGAATTCAAGGCATTTTATAACGCTGATTCAAAGATACTATAATACGAAAAAAAGGTGTTGTCACAGATTCATGCCTCTCAAAAGGCCGCAACGCGTAGAAGGTATCGCGATATTTTGCCTTTTATAAGAATAACTTTCATGTAAATTAGTTGAATCTGATTTGTCGAGAATGTTTAAAAATATTGTTATGGTCAAAGACTAAAATATAAAACCATAACGCTACAGTTCTGCAGCTAAGCAACAAGAAGTCAACATTGCTTCACGACGGATGATATTCCAGAAAACGTTGATTGCGCAGAATTTATGCACTCAGTATAATATGATAAATATTGAATTAGTTGATTGAATTTTTCACCTGAGCTATGATTATTTCACCTTTATTTGCGTTTTTTTCCTCCGCGTTATTACACCTTTTTTGAAAAGCGTACGTGAATTAACGTCATTATCTTGTTTTCCCTCATATACCATATACATGTAACAGTGTAGATCACAATGTGTATATAAACTTACTTTTATATATATATAGAGAGAGAGAGAGAGAGAGAGAGAGAGAGAGGTTCGTCACATGACCACAAACTCATCGCTAAGTTATAAACGACCGGTATGATTTTAAGTTTGACGTCCTAAGTGTTTAACACATTTGAAAATTAAATCATTTCATGGGTTAAGTAATATTAATACACAAATATTTGTTAAAAATCAGTCACAAATACAAATATAAGTAATACGGTATCATATTTAATCTGAAAATAAACCTTATTTCTTCAGAAAGGCAACTTTTTCGCGTTAGAATTCTCATTATTACGTCTTTCATTCGCCTTATTACACCTTTTCACTTTGTGTAATATCGCTTTTCATTTTTTTCCCCGTTTGATCTCAAATAGGCTTATCGAAATAAGCCGTTTGTTATCGGATATTTAAACAAGAGGCCCATGGATAACAACGCTCACCTTAATCATCATTGCCTTCTGTTCTTCATCAGCAGATTTCCCCCCTTTATAATCCTATGTAAAATTGTGATTGTCAGTTGTGGCCCCTATCTACCTCCGGTTCTAGAACAAACTTGAATCTACACCACCTGCGGATGTTATGTATAAATATGACTCATCATCGGTTTGCAGTAAATTAAAGATTTTCCCTATATATTCCTAAAATTTTGATTACCATTGTAACCCCTCCCTACCCCAGGGTCATGATTTGAACAAATTTAAATCCACACGGTGTCAGGAAGCTTTCACGTATGTTTTATTTTAACTTGCCCAGTAGTTCTTAAGAAGAAGATTTATAAATGACCCCGCCAAATTTTCTTTCTTAATTATCTCCCCTTTGGAAGAGGATGTGGTCCTTCATTTAAATAAACTTGAATCCATTTCACCCAGAGGTACTCTGCACTGCCCGGCTCCCTACTTTTCAGTTTGTTATTTTTGTTCTGGCAATTGCCTCTTCCATTGGATAACCAGTCCAGTTATCCTTGAGTCTCTTTTGCAGGTATAAACTAGTCCTAGACACGATATTGATGTCAATATTTCATGAGTTTTGTTTCAAACATTAGTATCCAGATTATATAGTTTTTAATCGATGTAAATTGGTAATAAACGAAACGTCGCGTACCATGTTTTATTTTAGTGAAAAAATTGCTGTTTAAATGCCATTTCCATATGTGTGTGACTTTACAACCTCATAATATTATATGTAAAATAACGTAAATATCATTTCCCAACAATGTGCAACACATGAACAATTTTAGTCCAGTAGTTTTTTTTAATATTTAAAAAGTTTGCGTTTTTTCCGGGACAACACTCATACATGTGCATTCTTTGGTGGGAAAACTGTTTGAAATCATTAAATACTGATATTATTAAAGAAATATATATCATAGAACAATTTTCATATAATTAAGCCTATATATAAATATGTTTAAAAAAAAGAAGACAGGTAATATACCTCTTTAACTTTTTCCCCCTTAGTGGCATATGTAAGTTTATATAGTTTGGAAGAGCTAAAATCAGTGATCAATATTTACTCTTTGCTTTTCATGCTTTAGAGCCTGTCGCCCCTCCCTCATCCCCCCTTCGAATTTGTTGCTTTTGGGGATTTTGACTTTATACATATATCCAGACAATCCCAGGTAAAGCACGTAACAAACAAAGTATCAAAACTCCTTAATTCATCATTCTGCGGTTTTACTTCCATTTCACTAAACCTATAAAAACAAAATCTTAGTTTGTTTCGCTAAATATCCGGACATGCTGCCCCCACCCCCGAAATAAGATTTTCGAGCTTGGACAATTTTCCTCCCTTTTCTGGTGAAAGATTGACATTTATTTTTCCGGTTGACCGCCCCATCCCTTTTTCAAAAACGATACTAGGTGCCTGTTACAAATCTGTAATTTCAATGTCATCAAGTGGAAGGTATTTTTTTAATTTAATTTTAAAATTTTAATTTGTGTATTATGTATGTCGTTTAAATTTGGTAAAGGACATAACCGTCACCCTCCATTACCTCTCCCCAAACAATAAAATCGCTAGATTCCAAACCTGTAACGATCGTTTACACTAGTTACTTCCCTTATCCCACAACTAGCTCTCTCTCTCTCTCTCTCTCTCTCTCTCGTAATTGTTTTAGCCTATACCTCTCTTGTATAACGTGGTCTGACCATTTTAATTGTGCTTACCACTACAGGGTGAGGACTGGTGTTTTGGGTTCCCAAGTCCTCTATGTCATATGTAATTGTCATCTACTTTCGAATTTCATATACATGTAATAGTCTCATGATTTGCCTTTTTTATAATAAAATTTTATATACCAATATCGATATATTGTGAAATGCATTTTTTTATTTAGATATTTAGAATATAGTTCTAATTGAGAAGAACAAATAAAAAATGGATTTTTTTGTAAATGAGTTCACATGTATATTTTTGTATGTGAATAAAACATATGAACATGGATAAATTTTCAGTCTTTGAATATCCTTTATTACAATTGTAAGATAAAATTATGGACGAAGAAGATTTTTCTTAGAATTTTATTGAGAGTCATGCACGTAATCTTACTTAACCTAAAACTTATAATTAAAAAACAACAAAAACAAATAGACATATATGTATACATATACAAGCGAATGATGATGAGTCCGGCCTCGAGGCCATAAACTGAGGACAGACTTGAGTCAAAATTTCAAATTGGTATCTTCAGAAATAATCTTGAGAATCAAACAAAATTTTCATCATGTGATATCTGAATATTACAGAAACCTGAAGTTTTTTTAAACAGATATGTGAAATGAAAATCAAGATACAGTATTCTAAATTTAAAAGAATTACTTTAATCTGTTCTCAATTTATAATTTCGAGGCTAGGCCTGAACTGTACAACTCATTCATAATGAGTCCTTCTTTGTAAAAAAAACAAAAACAAAAACAAAACAAAAAACAAAACAAAACAAAACATCGGAGATGAAAAGGGGGGTTTATTTATGTGTTTATTTTTTTTTTTAAATCATTCCTTTTTATTAATAATAATTGGTATGCTGTCTATTTTTTTTCTGTCAACCCCCCCCCCTTTGAAAAATGACGCCATGTGCCTGCTTAATATCTGTTTATATATAAATCAAATGATTAAGTTTACTCACATTAAGTTTTTTTTTCCCCATTGAAGAAATATTTAAGAGAATGGCAAAGTGTTAGAAATTTAAACATCATAGAAAATCTACAATTTCTCAATATTTTAGATACATATATTTGATATTTGCCTCACTTAAAACCAAAATCAAACAAAAAAAAAACAATTCATGCATCCATTTTTTTTAATAATAGAAAACAAGAAAATCAGCGCTGTAAAACTTGTCATACATATTTTGATTGGTGCCTCTAAGTAATCTTACACTGCTGAGGGAGTAATTGTTAGACAACATGTGTTGTAACGAGCCGATAACAAAAACTATATCTATTGGTATCGATCTAGATCACACCCCGGCCTGCCCCAGGTGACGGGAGTCCACATTTACTCTACACGAACTGCTGACATGTCACAAAGAGAAATCATCGGTACTCAATGGAATTGGCATCCCGCGGAGTAATAGATATTGTCAGTATAGATCTCATACGGGGCTTAGTACATGTAGAAAGTTAAGCGTCACGTATATATGCGAATTTTAGTTTATTGTTTCTTATTGAGTGTGTGCAATGGTCATCAAATTTTTGGATTTCATATCTACTTAGGTAATTGAATTATTTCCACTGGTTAGTGATACTGTTCTTCTCATGATGAAAACTGGACACTTTGAATTTCTTTATCCTTCTACACCAAGGAAATTAAAGAAAAGAAACAGTGAAAGAGGTAATTATTGGATTTTTTAAATTTCATTTTGAATTCTATGCCAGTTCGTACATGTACATGTATTTTCAAGATTTATTTGCCAGCATATATATATATAGCATGCAACAGAAAACATGTGCTAATTCATACAGTTATACTGTATAACTGTATACTCTTTGAATAATTTTCTTTTTCTTTTTCTCTTTTTTTTTCTTATGGTTTGTCAGGAATTCATTTTCGGTTGTGCAACCCACCCACCCCCGAAATCGCGTATTACGCATGCTTAACGTGCCTGTAATTATTTATTCAATGATATTTAACAATACTTCCACTCAAACGATTTTGTATTACAACATTCTATTAACTTATGTAAATTTATCAGCTATTTTCTATACGGAAAACGCATATGTACTGTTCTTTGTACTGAAAAAATGTTATAAAACACAGTTTTTCTGTCTAAAACCCATGCAGATTAACTGTTTTAATTCGTATCTAGGCATCTTAATGTATAACGCATAGAAACACGCTAATCCAAATTATTCTTGAGATCGGATTTCAACGTTAGCATGGTTAGTAAATCCCAATATCCGCCAAGGAAAATGCTGGATCGCATATTGCTCATGTATGTTTGAATTGACCAATCAAATCCCTTGTAACACAAATACACATCGCGCAAGGAGGCCATTTCAAATATGAATGTAAACATGAAAAGACATCATGGACATGGGAAGAGGTTGTATATTACACAGAACACATGTAAAAGGTGTCAGATTTAAAGAAATAGTTTCCTAACAACTTCAAAAGGAATACTGATTTAAAAGAAATATTATATTATCGAACGGAGTCGACAGGTGCGCGAAATGTCGAGCTTGGCGAAACGATAGAAGAAAAAAATACACATATAATTTGAAATTGTTAACTGAGAGGAGAACAGTTATTATGGCCACTACACCTGTAAGTGCGCAGAGAAGTAAGTCCATGAAAGGAAAACGTGTTTTACCGGTGGTTCCCGGGGGTACACCGCGGGACAAATCTCCATCTGTGACCAAGTCAGTCACCTTCAATAGAGAAACTGCGGAGAGATCAATCGGGGGAACACAGAGTATAGCTAAGCTGAAGAATGATCCTCTAAGTTTGTCTATCAGTCTGTCTGTTAATGAGGAATTCTGCAACACATCTACCTCAGAGGAAGAATCGGTGCTTCGTGAAAAAGTCCCCACCCCAAAACAACCTAGTCGTCTCCCAGTGTACAGATCCCCCATCGTCAATGGGGGAGGTACACCAAGGTCTAAATCTCCTCTGTCTTGGAATTCTGATAATAAAGAAAATTTTCTTACTCCAGTGAAAGATGGACGTCGAGCGACAATGGAGAGTCATATAGATATGCCGAGCCCTGACCAATTTTATAACTCAAATATGAGGACGCCAGCTAGAAGATACACACTGGATGATAAGTTGCTAGCCACGCCAGAATGTTACTCTACAGTGCAAATGGACCTCTCACGGCATGAAATGATGTACGATAAAGAGACCAATCTCTACGAGGAGGATAGCTCTAGTGTGACAGTGGCAGTTAGAGTCAGGCCCTACAGTTCAAGGTATTATTTCATTTCCTACAGACAGTTTTTTTTATGTATATCATTTGTTTAGAGAAGACATTGGAATTGCATTTTAATGTCTGTAAGAAGCATATTTCCTTCATTATCCTATTGTATTTTGTTTATTTTATCAACTGTTTTCAAAACGCATTTTCCATTTACTCAGACATTTTCTCTCAAGACAATCAGCTGACAAAGCAATTGGGTTTGTTTATCTGACCATTAAAAGACCTAGAACTCCATGGAATATGTGTATAGATTTTACCAGTTAGCATAGTATATTTAAAATAACATATAAGATTAAATCAGCAATCTGCAGTAAATAATCTTTTAATCTCAGACATCATTACTTTGATAAGTCTAATCCTTGGACAAAAACCAACTACAAACGGGTGGACTTTTCTAATCGCAGATTTGTTTACCCTCTGTAATGAAATTAGTTGTTTACTTTTAGATTTCAATATGAGCTCAGCATTGTATTAAGATATCTATAAATTTAAACCATTCAAACATGTAAAAATGTAGGAATAAAAATTTCCATGATTGATTTTCAATGCCTATTTATTGTTCTATAAACTGTAGAATTTGTTATCTAATTAATGTCTCATGTACCTCTGCCAGCATTCTCATGAAGGTATATGTACTCGATAACCAAATTTACACTCTCATATCTTGTTGATGTACTGGTAGTGCATCCTTTCTTTCATGTAGCAAAATGCAAGAGTTTCAGCTCAATACATTTAACCATCTATAATATTGAGTGGTACAGAGGAAAAAATACCGTATGAAATCAAAATGATACCTGAATTCAAGCAGGTACCTTTGTTATATTCGGCACTTAAGTACTCAAGTAAAATGTCAAAGAAACTCTTAAAGTAATAGTTGCTCTTTGTCTGTTGAAACTGAAGATGTCTAGTCTGACAGTAGTCTCATGATCAATTCATCATTGAAAAAATAATTTAATAGAATTGTATAGTGCTTTGTTTATATTATGTATTCTGATTTTCCAGGGAGCTGAGCGATGGAAATGTTCGTTGTGTGGTGTCGATGGATGGTAATGAGACAATGGTCAGAGCCCTGGACAGCGGTCATCTTTACAGATTTAACTTTGACTTTTCCTTCTGGTCCTTTGACAGTACCCATTGGGAATTTGCTGGTCAGGAGCGAGTGTATCGCCAGCTTGCCCAGCCCCTACTGGTCAAGGCATTTGAGGGATACAACACATGCCTGTTTGCCTATGGTCAAACTGGCAGTGGGAAAAGTTATAGGTTTGTATTATACTGGTTAATGATTGTTTGTTATGAGCACTCAAAGACCCAAATCAATATTCATTGTTGCTTAGAACCGTTTTATGCAAAGGGGGAAACAGAGAAATCCTCTGCTTAATCTACACTGGTCCATTGGCAACTCAGAAAATTTCTGAAAATGTGTACAGTTTGTGTCAATCAAAGAAATAATGTTGACAGGCATTACAGGACATGCTAAGATATTCATTTTTCTTTTCTTCTTTTTCTTTTCTTTTTTTTGTTAGTTTTTTTTTTTTTTTTTTTTTTTTAAGTACCGGTAATGAATTTACTTATCATGAGGCCTTCCCTGCTAATGAAAAACTTGTGTATGTAATATTAAGCTACACGTGTAATACAATGGAACCAGTGTCAGTGATATTGCCAAAATGACTTGTATATATTGGAACCTGTGTCCCTTGATTTGATGATAAAAATAATATTTTTTAAATGATCTGATCTTTCATGAATCTGATTTTAATCATGTCATTTTCAGCATTATGGGACACGGGAGCGAGGTGGGAATCATCCCCCGATTCTGTAAGGAGCTGTTTTCTAGAGCAGACCAGGACCAAGAGGTCACCCGAGACTCAGAAATGGTCAGTTCTCACCTGCAGATTATTAAGTGTAGTGGTCAGGGAATTGGCATAGGAATGTTGCAAAATTACTGCTTCAATAGAACTGGGCCATATTTTTTTTGTTTTTTTTTTTTTAGTTTTAGAAACATGATTAAACAAAACTTTGTCTTTCACCATGGTACCTATGTGATAAAATCAAAGATTGCCCAATTACACAATATACATATCATGGTAAAACTAAATGGCTATTCAATTTGGCTTGTTTAAAGTTTCATTTTCTTCTACTGTCTGAGACAACAATGGCTCTCTTGCATGTTTGCTGTAAAAGTTCTCTACTGTTCAGATTTATACAGAACATTTACTGCATGACTGAGTATATTATGTTTTATTTTCTTTTGTTCCTAGCCTATTCTTAAATGGAATTTTAAGTAGGTTTCACTTTAAATGTTCAAATTATAATACATACTGTAGAACTATCACTGATCATGGGGGACCAATGTTTATGGGACACCCTTACCCCCAATTATGCATCCCTTGAACAGTTATTTGTTAATGTTTGGTTCATTGAAACTTCTCCCAATGTTCATGGGTCACCCTTACCCCCAGTTCTAAATCCCTCGAACAGTTATTTGTTAATGTTTGGTTCTTTGAAACTTCTCCCAATGTTCATGGGTCACCCTTACCCCCAATTCTAAATCCCTCGAACAGTTATTTGTTAATGTTTGGTTCTTTGAAACAGTTCAGACTTCTCTATAAATGAGTTACCCACGAAATAGTGACTGTGTCCCCATGAACCAGTAAAATTTTGCTTGTCCTTGAAAATCAGAGCAGTTTTTGACTGCTCAGATGCAGGGGTTAAATGATTTTTTAAAGATCACTAAACATGAATGCAGTCATTATGGTAGTACAATACAGTACTGCATCCAGGCTGGGTTTAGTTTTGGCCATTAACTTGTATTGTTTTTCTAGTATAAACAACATTATCTTTGTGAAATAAAACCTGAAATCAATCTTAGTATATTATAGATCCCTTATTGACCCTTAAAAGCATTTTACATAGTACCATGTTCTGTTCTGAATTTACTGACACAGAAAATGGATTACCGGGTAAATAACTGTTAAAAAAAAAGCCTTTTCACCCAGCCACAATATCTAATACAATGTATCTTACACACAGTCACTGCAATATAAATTGTGGCATACTAAATTTATTAAGATTTACTCCTAAATCTAATATCAAGTGTATTTGTACTTTTCTGACAAAAAATAATATAATGGGGTAAAGTATCAGATCTCAGCATTACATGATGTCATACATCAGGTTTTTTTCTATGGCAATGTCTATGAATTGAAGATGTTTATCTGAAAAAAAAGTTTTATTGTACTGTATTACTTTATAAGTTCAAGTCAATCTGGTTTGTCATTATGGTCCTGAGTGTAGAAACTGCATATTACCAGATTGTCACTGAATTTAATTTGAAAGTTACCAGAAAGTTGGGGGGGGGGGGGGGAGGATTGACTGCATAGAGACTATTTAAGTTATAAATCCTGGTTAACATAGAATTCCTTCTGTCAATCACTGATTCCCTAATCAGTGAGGAACACACAGATTATTGACTTTCTATCATGGTATCATTAAAGGTGAATTAAATGGAAACATTATGGGTCTGGGCATTTTGGTAATATCTTTACAGCCCTACATTATCAGGACCCCTAGTCAGCTGAGAGGGTTTGGTGATAAGTCAGGTTATAGGTGTATTGCTGTATTCTAAACTGTGACAATATATCAAAACCAATTATATACACATAAGGAAATTACCACTCTATTTTGATACACAAACTGGAGAGAAAAAAATGAAAAGATGTAATTTAGCAGAGTGTTTAGATGGGATAGACACGTTAGATGTCTGATGAAATCAGATCTAGTTGCTCATGGTTTATGAATGATATCATAAAGAAAAGAATATGATGTTTGTTGCTTCTCAATGTAGTTAACAGTTATCATAACTGCAGAACTTTGGCTCCAATAAGATTGTGTATTGGGTGATTGCAATCAAGCAACAAAGATCATTGTCATGTTTTGAAGACGTTTAAAAAATATTTGGATTCTTTCATTCAGAAGGATTTTATCAGTATAAGTAATGTATTGAATTAACATAAGAGTCTTTAAATTGAAAGTGCTTGAATGAAATGAAATGATGATTTTGTTGTTAGGATACATTGTTCATGTACAGGCAATATATTGGCTGATCTGAACAATATGAAAAGTCTTGTCATTGTGTAGTCTCTCAACTCAACAATATATAGATCCATATGCAAGATTAGGGCTTAAAAGGGCAAATAGAACTTTAGATGGAATTAAATACTGGCCTGCAATTTCAATTTTAAAATTCACTTACATGTCTCAGGTGTCTCAAGATAACTATTGTCAATAGTGTGTGATAAATACTGAATGATAAGTTTCTTTGTACACAGCGGGATATAAATATAGTCAGGTCAATGAATTCCGAATTTAATGAGGTCTACAGCACTGAGAATTTTTAAGTATGTGAATTTACTGGTAGATATTTGGAAGAAAAATTTTGATTTATAATACATTCATGCAGGATAATATAAACCGATATTTTGTATGTATTGATCCTTGCATTAAATATGAGAATGACATTTTATTGCATTTCTAGTGTTTATCCAATTAATTTCCTATATGGCCAAATGATATGCAATTTTATGCATACAGACTACAAAAAGGTTAATAGATATTTCAAAAGAAAGATTTGGCAGTACACAAGTGATCATGGTTCCTATTATGAGAAAATATTTTTTAGAAAGCTGAAAGCATTGCCAGTGACCTTTTAATAAATCTTGTTATGAAAAAAAGAAAAAGAGCTAAGACTATTTAAGTCTTTGAAATAACACAACAAAAATAGAAGCTGTGTAAAGAGTAGAAACACAGCCAACATTTCTGGTGTGTGGTAAAAGGGTCAACAATTTACTGACACTACTTACCCACTCTTAATCATATTAGTTTTTAGCTTAATCTGAATGTGCAGGCTCTCAACAGGTGCTCTGCTTGATATTGCTGTGAAAAAGTATAGGATTTAGTCTGTACTTTAGCTTGATTCTTTAAAGAAAAAATTATATGGCATAAAAAGAAGTAAACTGTACAGTTGAACCTTGGTATTTTGAACATTGATATCAATTGAGCTGGAATCCTAACCTCTTTTCTTTATGTATTTTAACCTCAGTATCTTCAATCCTCGGATATCTCAAGTTTTTTTCTTGGCCCCCTTCAACACATTTTATCAAAATTTCATTATATATAAGCTAAAATCTTCATTGTACATTTAAGAGAATTGACATAAACAGATACTTTACATAGTAAAATAAAGAAAATCTGAAGAGCTAACTGTAACCTCACAATAGCTGAATGAGCACCCATGCATTACTCCTCAATATGGGGCTGAACCCTGCATTACAGCTCCGTAATGCAGGTCTGGCATACAACACATGCAAAAAAACAAAACAAACAAAACAAAAAAACTGTATTTATTCCCAGGTATTAGCCATATAAGCACATTATGTTTACAGATGAGCATCAGTGTACTTTTATTTGTATTAATTATTATTACAGATAGAAATATATGGACTTTTATAATATATTATAACTATTTCAGGTAAAAATCAATGTTGAGATTTCATTCTTTGAAATCTACAATGAGAAGATACATGATTTACTGGCCTCCAGCAAGGAAAAAGGAGGAAAGAAACCTACGGTTAGTCCTCCATCATAAGTAATAATTAATAATAAAAATACATTTATAAATCAGAGCTGTACCAATATTTCTATTTATATTATTTATATTTCTGTTTATTTGCTGGCATATATTAGAATTTGGCAGTAAAAGAAAAGAGAAAGTTAGATTTAAGTTTATATAATGTGAACTGAAGAAAAATAACATCTTTATGTTTAATTTTGTCCACATTTTAGCTTAAAGTACGAGAACATCCTGTCTTGGGCCCATATGTAGAAGGACTTTCTACATATGTTGTCAACTCATTTGAAGATGTTGAGGTAATTTTCTACACAAATCTGTCAAATATATATAATGTAAACATACTTAATTTAGCGATAATCATATTTAAGCACCTGTTGGACTGCTTCTTGTCAGCTAATTCAAGTACAAGCTGATATATGATTAAAACGAATATTTATAGAAACTGACCTCTAAATATTGTAATGTATGATTACTTCAATGAGCTGATGTGGAAGATTGCTCTAAGTTTTCAGTGCGCTAATTTATATACATTTACAGTATATATATATTTTATTAAGTAGTTTACAGGTTTGTCAAGATATTTTTTTACTTTGAAAAATGAGCTTTTTGCCAATTGATACACATTTGATATATAGGGATGGATAACGCTAGGAAACAAAAACCGTGCGACAGCAGCAACGGGGATGAACGACAAAAGCAGTAGATCTCACTCTGTGTTTACACTGGTTCTCACACAGACAAGGGTAAGTATTTTGTCTGTCAGATATCATGTTACCACTTACCAGTCAGGAATTATAATCCCAAAAGATTCATATATTTTAAATATGCATGTTACCCATATGTAGATACATGTCAATTAATTGGGATTAATGAAGAAGAATTATTAACATAATTTTTATGATATTTTCCTGATTAGGACTTATTGTACGAAACACAGGTAGGTTTACAAAGGTAGTTTTTGGATTTATCTGATTTTTATAACAGCTTGAATACTAGACTCTGTATTTGATATATCAGATTGATTGTTGTTTGATGCTTCTGTCATGTTCATCTATTATTTAGAGAGTTCCTCATTGATCATTTGTTGACAGTTGATACCTTGTGTGCTTTTTTTTTTTTAAATGTACCATATTTAAATCACAATTTCTCTCTTAGAGCTATTATTCTAGATACAGATTATTTTTACTTCACAGATCATGTACTGCAAGGCTTGCAAAGACTTCTTTTAATTATTTTTCACACTTTCTGCTTGTAAAACCTCATCCCAAGCAAATTTCATTATTTTTTAAATCAGAGTAAAGAAAATGCATTTACCAATATATGTGAGAGTTGAACTGCACCTAGAGAACCTTTTTAGTGCAATCACAAAATATGAATAGCTGAAAGAAGATTTGTGTACAATTTGAATCTTTTTGCTCTGAAACCCTCTGGATAATTGTAGATTTTATTTTAGCACAGGAAACCCCTCTGACTTCTTAAAATGCCATTATCACAGAATGTTGTTTTTTTTTATACAAATAAGTTGCTAAATGCTTTGTCTTCATACCTTTTATGTATATATCTGATTTATAGACAGAGGAAATAGAGGGCATTCAACATGATCATTCCATCACCAGCAAAATTAACTTGGTAGATCTGGCTGGTAGTGAGAGGCAGTCACAGGCTCAGACATCAGGGGAAAGGCTTAGGGTAGGTAACTCAGAGGGCTCAGGGTAGGTAACTCAGACTCAGAGGGCTCAGGATAGGTAACTCAGACATCAGGGGAAAGGTTCAGGGTAGGTAACTCAGACATCTGGGAAAAGGCTCAGGGTAGGTAACTCAGACTCAGGGTAGGTAACTCAGACTCAGGGTAGGTAACTCAGACTCAGGGGAAAGGCTCATGGTAGGTAATTCAGACTCAGGGGAAAGGCTCAGGGTAGGTAACTCAGACTCAGGAGAGAGGCTTAGGGTAGGTAACTCAGACTCAGGGTAGGTAACTCAGACTCAGGAGAGAGGCTTAGGGTAGGTAACTCAGACTCAGGGTAGGTAACTCAGACTCAGGGTAGGTAACTCAGACTCAGGGGAAAAGCTCAGGGTAGGTAACTCAGGGGAAAGGTTCAGGATAGATAACTCAGACTCAGGGGAAAGGCTCATGGTACATAACTCAGACTCAGAGAGAAAGGCTCAGGGTAATTAATTCAGACTCAGGGGAAAGGCTCAGGGTAGGTAACTCAGACTCAGAAGAGAGGCTTAGGGTAGGTAACTCAGACTCAGGGTAGGTAACTCAGACTCAGGAGAGAGGCTTAGGGTAGGTAACTCAGACTCAGGGTAGGTAACTCAGACTCAGGGGAAAGGCTCATGGTAGGTAATTCAGACTCAGGGGAAAGGCTCAGGGTAGGTAACTCAGACTCAGGAGAGAGGCTTAGGGTAGGTAACTCAGACTCAGGGTAGGTAACTCAGACTTCAGGAGAAAAGGTACTAGGTTACTCATTCTGGGGTAACCTTAAACTAGGTAACTCTGACACTGGGAGGAAGGCTTGTGTAGATTACTTAAACCTTAGGGGAAGGCTTAGGGCAAGTAACTCATAGATTAGGTTAAAGAGATGGAAACTCATCCTCAGAGGGCCAAGGGTAGGTAACTCAAAGATCAGGGGAAGGGCTCAGAATAGGTACCTCAAACCACAGAAATGGTCAGGGTAGTTAACTTAGATGTTAGGGTAAAAGTTTAGGGTAGTTAACTTAGACAACAGGGGAAAGGGTATGTAACTAAAACCTCAGGGTGGATAACTCCAATATTAATGGAAAGGCCCAGTGTAGATAACTCAGACTTTAGGGAAAAGATTCAGGGTAGCTAATTCAGAAGTAAGGTTGAAAACTTTGAAGAGGTTGGACATATTTTAGGAATTGGTGGTTAACAGAATTGTTACAAGGGATATATATGATGCTGATAATTTTTAAGAGCCCATGGTTTGGATGTAGGTGTCTTGCAAAAAACTATTTTCTAAATTCAAATTAAAAGCAGTTATATAAAGTTTATTCTTTACCTTGTCAAACTTTCAAACTTTAGTTTTTATATTTCTGGTATATAGGATTTAGTGCATAGATATACATAGCTCATATATCCGCTTCTTCATTCACAGGAAGGTGCTAATATAAACAAGTCCCTGTTGACCTTGGGGAAGGTCATTTCCTCTTTATCTGAGCAGTCCATCATGGGATCCAAGAAGAAAAAGTTTTTTATTCCATATAGGGACTCTGTTCTTACTTGGTGAGTGCATTTACTTGTGTCTGTAATCTATTGACTTCAACTAGCATAAATTTTTCATCAGTCATCTGACTTTTCAACAACTTTGGGTTGATCTGGGGTCATTGTTTGTGATAGAGAAACCCTGGGGTCATAAGTTGTCAAATGAATGCATGCATGACATTATCAATATATTTGTACATGTTTATGGCATTTGACTTGGTTTGAGTCACAAGAAGGGGAATCATTGTATATTTATTGTGAGAGAATAATGTGATTCATGTGAGCATTGTCACCAATATACCTTGTGTGCAGAAGTGATATCATTTATGTGTATTAGAACTCTAAAAATCGATTACTGTTTGATTTCAGGCTCTTAAAAGAGAGTTTGGGAGGAAACTCTAAAACAGCCATGATTGCCACAATAAGCCCCTCCCACCTCCACATAGAGGAAACCCTCAGTACACTCAGATATCCTTTACCATCATCTATTTATAACTGTTGAGTGGTTTTACCATTGAGAGACTTTCAAATCAAATTATAATGTTCAGTTTGCTTTATACATGTTATATAGACATTTTGTTTTTTTCTGAAGATTCAGTTTACTTTGGAAAGAAGGAAACAATTGATACTTTTCTTCATTTATTGGTGTCCCAGTGATTTTTGAAACCATGAATATCAATTTTTCTTAACAAAATTCACATATGCAAAGCAGGCGCGAGCCATTGTGAACCTGGCCCGTGTCAATGAGGATCCTAAAGCCAGGATGATTAGGGGTAATTGGCTGTTGCTAGTCTTTTTTTTCTGCTTTAAAATTTATGCTGAGAAAATCAAATTTGAGCCCACCTGAAATAATTTTAAAACATGTATTTATAGACTAGTATTGACCATGATATTCTTAATTATATGAAGACTTGGTGAAATATTATATCTATAGTGAAATGAATAAGTAATAGATAAATACACATGTTAATAAATAGGCTTTTTACCATTTTCTCTATTTTCAATGTTTTTATCCTTGTTTTTATCACCCATTTGCTTTTAGAACTGAAGTCTGAAATTGACCGTCTGCGGAGCCAGAGCGGCATTATGAACGAGCAGCAGCAGTCGGCCAGTCTGGCAGAAATCGCTGCCCTGAAGGAGAAACTCGCCGTCAGAGAGAAGGAAATGGAAGAAATGACAAGGTATACACTACGACCACTACGTTATATATTGGAGGTCTACTGCTTTAATTCTTCAAAAAGAGATTTTCAGAGAAAGGGTCCAATTTTATTTGTGTTGATAATGATTTACATGTGCATGTTATTGAAGATCCTGGTTGGAGAAGCTGAGACTGTCTGAGGAGAGAAAAGCAGAAGAGGCAAAACAATTAGAGGTCTGTATTGTCTGATTCTTTACTCAATAAATTTTTTGTTGAGAAAAAAAGCCCTATAACTTTTATGCAATTAATTGAGAAAATATTGTGGAGGGGAAATGCTAAATCTTTGAAATTATGAAAATATGAACAATTATTCTGACTTTGCAATATTCTGTGTGAAAATTAACAAAGAATTTATTTATGTGTATACAGAAAGCTGGTATAACCTTTAAAGTGGACAACAAACTCCCAAATCTGGTGAATTTAAATGAGGACCCCCAACTGTCTGAAATGTTACTGTATGTCATCAAGGAGGGCCAGACGAGAGTGGGGAGGATGTGTCCCAACTCTAAACATGAGATTCAGCTCAGTGGAGCCCTTATAGCTGATAATCATTGGTTAGTAACCTAACTCATGTAAATATACATTTAAGCACACAGGGCTTACATAGCAAGAAGGTAGAGGTATAATCTTCAATGATAGTGCTAGTTTAGCTGCTTTGATCTCGAACACAGCCCTGGTTATAACTTAAAGACGACTCAATGGAGCCAACAAAGCCTATATACAGTAAATCTAGGTCATAAATCACTGAAAGGAGCTCTCATAGCTAAGAATCAATTAATGGTTTTTAACACAATAATTCCTTGATTGGTTAATTGCAACTTCGTTAGGCTGCATTCCGTTTATTACCATATGTAACTTCGAAAAATTGCTAAATGATTTAAAAATAAATTTTTGAATTGATAGTGCATTGTTTGGGCATAATACCAGGGAATACACTTGAAAAATCTTTACATAAGACTTAAAAGATAACAGCATTTTTGACAGTATATAGTGTTAAAGACAGGATTTTAAACTGCTGTATAGAGATGCTATCATAAGTCTGCTGATTTTATCTCTAGTGTTCTGTCTGAGGTGACTGTAAGCAGTCTGACCATCTGATTAAAGGTCATTTGTGATGTGTTTGGGTTATGTTGGGAGAAGTCATTGTTTGCATTTATTTTTCAGTATCATAAACAATGAAGAATGTGTAGTAAGCATCACTCCAATTGACGACTCCCCCACCTATGTCAATGGCAATCTCATCTCGGAGCCAACTATACTTCATCACGTAAGTGTTTGCCGTCAAGAATTAAGACATAATGGATGTAAGTTTTTTTTTTAGAGGCCACAAAGTTTTACTATTTCTCTGTATGAACATTTTCTGAATATTCTTATTGATTTGTGTATTTTATTTAAAGATCGAAATACAAAAGTCTTGATAATGACTTGATAGTTCTATTTGACATTTCATAAATTGATATCAAATTTTTACAGGGTGACAGAGTGATTCTGGGAGGTGATCATTATTTCAGGTAATAGATTTGTTCTGTAACTTTCAAATTATTATTTTATATTTGAATTTATTTTCAAAATTTAGATATTTTTCAGAGAGAGAAAAAATGGGTGGGTCAACTGTTAAAAGTGTAAATAAAAGAGGTACACTGTAAATAAATTAATGTGAATCCTCTTAATTCACAGGTTTAATCACCCAATAGAAGTGAGTAACAAGCAGACAACACCAGCTCAACAGGAGATGAAAGATTTTGAGTTTGCAAAACAGGAGGTTCAACGAGTGCAGGAGGCCAGGTAAGTTCAGAGAGCGCAAGAGGTCATGTACTGTGTAATCATTAATTTTCATTGGGGTTTAATTCTCATTGTTTTTCAGATAAAAATCCCCCATTAACCAATATCTTGACCTAAAACCATTAAAAAATTGGCCCCTCAAAAATAAGTGATTTTACAGTATGTATAAAGTAAGATCAAGCTCAGAATATAAAAAGCCAGAAAACAAAAACAAACAACAACAACAAAAAATAAGAAGAAATAAAATGAACTGTTTGAATAACACCTCAAAGTTAGTGCATTTTGAAGATGGGAAATCCACTTAGCTAAATTAGTTAAACAGAGGAACATGAAGTTAAATATGCACCTTTTTTTTTTTTGGCAAAATGATTTTGAAATTGTCAAGCTATTTCTGAAATATATGAATTTTAAGAATAGGAAAGGATTTAGATAATATTTATGATATGTGATAAAAGGTTACAAGCAGAGCTGGAGGAGGCTAGGAAGCAGGCTAAAGAGGAAATGTTTCTGGAGTTGGAAGAAGCCAAACGGGAGGCAGAGATGGAATGGCATTCACAGAAAACAGGATACGAGGACAAACTGACAGAATTAGAGCAGTCACGACAGGAGGCCCAGGAGTTTATACAGAAACTACAGAAACAGAAAATGGTAAGTCATGAAGACACTACAGAAACAGAAAATGGTAAGTCACACAGAAAATAGAGAACCAGAAAATGGTAAGTCACAACTAAAAAACTGAAGGAAGCAGAAAATGCTGAGTCACACAGAAACTACTGAAACAGGAAAATGGCATCACACAGGAACTACTGAAACAGAAAATGGTAAGTCAGACAGAAACCACAGAAACAGAAAATAGTTAGTCACACAGAAACTACAGAAGCCAAAAATGCTAAGTCACTCAGATACAGAAAATGGTAGGTCACAATGAAACTACAGAATGGAAAATAGAAAGTTGAACAGAAACTACAGATTTGCAAAATGTTAAGTCACTTAGAAATTAGAGAAACAGAAAATGGTTAATTTTTAGAGAAATAATACATGTACTGGAATAAGTTCAAGCAGAAAATAGTAATCTAATGCTACAATGACATAGATATGCCTTAATAATATTCATACATGTATTAGAATGTTTTACATGTACATGTATTTTTAAAAAATTAAAGCATTTAATTGGACAAACATAACTTTTTTTCCTCTCAATCAATTACATGAGCATATATGAAAACTTTTTTACAAATTAAATTATATTCTGTTTTAGCTTTTGGAACAAGAGGTGCTTGCTGGCAGAAAAAGACAACAGTTAGAGGCTAAAGCTGCTGAAAAAGTAAATTGCATAGTGTACACTTAATAGAAAAATTCACAGTACTGGTCCACTGGATAGTACCAGTATTACTGAGTATGAAAGACGTCTTTTTTAATTAGATATACAATATCTATAGGTTGCTAGCCAGCCTGATTCTGCCAGAGGCTCTCGACTTTTGGAGTTTTTGGAAACAGAGAAGCAGAAAGCGGCCCAGAGAATTGAGGAGGTGAAGCAGCGGCGATCTGAGATGATGTCTATCACTAGACGGAATGGTTTCCTGGAATCAGGGAAAACTGATCTCTACAAAGTGGCACTACTGCTAAGAGAGGCCAATAAAATCAGCCAACTGCTAAAGAAACACACGGTTAGTACATCTTTTGTCTTGCCAAATATCAAGCTATTTCACAAGGGAAGCAATCCAAATTATGAAATTCAGGTCTTGAAAGTAAAATGAAATAATTCAATCCTGAAGAAATTGGAATGCCAGTATCATATTTGAAACTTAAAAAAGAAATGAATTTGGTTTGTAGACTTTCTGTCGGTTTGATTATCTGGAAGAAGATAGAATGAAAACCAAAATCAAAGTGACCAACACTAAGCTTGGAGTCTGTACCTTCTGGTCAGTTGTCAAGTTTGAGGACAAACTGATGCAGATGAGAGATCTTTATCAGGTCAGTTGCTAAAAAAATATGAAGGAAGACAACTTTTAGAATTTTTGGAATCTAAATGGAATAAAGGGAGTTTGAAGATTCCCATTTTGACAATTATGAGAAATTTTAAAATATTAAGCTTTCAAGTGAGATAAAAAAAATTCAATAAAAGGTAGTCATTTAAGGTAGTGACTTTTTTCACTAATTTCTTTTAATATATTCCAGAATGATGCAGACAGTTGTGTAGATGATGAGTTATTTAATGATCCCAGTGATAAATGGGAGCAGGATCTGTCTGGTACACCTGGAAGATCCCCGAAAAGGTGAGGGATTAAGACTCTGTCCTTATAACACTGTAATCAGAATAGGAACTCTTTGGGAGGATTGAGAACTGAAGGTATTGATTGAAAACCTTTTATTTGTAGCCGTCTTCACCGTAGATCTTCTATGACATCACCATACAGAACTAGTATCTCCAGTTTTAATGCCAGTCTGATGAAAGGTTAGTTAGTCTCCAGTACTACAACATTGTAAATTGTTAACTTTGATTAAACTGACAAATTGAAATGAACAATAGTATCTAAAATGTTCATATGGAGTAAGTTTAGTACATCAGGGTTAACTCACCCTTGATCTTTCCCTGGAGTCATAATGAGACCTTGGATAAGTATGTACACTGAGGTTGATATACATGTAACATTGATGTTTTTAGCCAAAGTCAGTTTTGTCAGTTTTATATTCATTGAATCAACTTTAAATGTTAAGTTTAATGTGTACAGTGAAACCTCTCTAATCAAACATGCACTGGGAGACAAATATTTTGTCAGAATAGACAGGGTGTCAGATTACACAGTGTAAAAATAACATGGAAAAAAGTAAAATGGAATTAAATAAAGGTCAGAATTCACAGTGAAACGGGTTGTGGAGGTGTCAGATTAGACAGTTTTCACTGTAACATCCAACTATAATGTGTTGAATCGAGAATAAAAATTACTGGTTCATTCTTACAACAGCTGGAATTGCTATAATGTTCCTACTCACTACCTACATTTCCTATCCAGCTCTGTGTTAGTAGTCTGATATGTCAGTGTGATTTGTTAATGCTGTGTTGTATTAGGTTCTGTAAGCAGTATGCCTGACTGTTTGTGTCCCCACCACACGTCCACAGAGTCAATACTTAGTGTCTACAAAACTCACGCCCTCGCAGTGATGGAAAGCTTCCAGAGTAAGAACTTTATAATATACCGTGTCTTCTGTGCAAGAGTAACTTGAGAAATTTGTGAAATCTGCAATCAAAACTTTATTGTTTTCATGCAATGTTAGGTATATCTATAACAATGATTTTTTTAAGGTGTACACTTAGAGGAGAGTATAGCAGACAAAATAACAAGTTCCTGTAGTAAGATTAAGAACTCTGTCCTGAGGATTAGAGATTACCACAGCAGTGTTCAGAATGACAGCATTTCAGGTGAGTTTATAATCCAGGTCTACAGCAATTTAGTAAATAAAACATGTTCTTTGTTAGTATGTGAATGAACGTTGGAGCTGTTGCAGAAAAAAAGCATACATGTATAACCCACATAAGTGCATTTAATATTTATTTTCATAAATATAAAGGAAGAAATTTTCATTAAATGTAAATATGAGTTATTAAGGATCAGAATATAAATAATGGTACAAACCATCATACAAGTGTATGTCGAACAAACATATATGAATCAGTTTAGTGGCTGTGTTAAGCTTTGGACATCTAGTAATTAACAATGTCAGCTTTAAGTCTTGCTTTTTTTTCCCCAGAGGGTCAGCCAGATGATGTCATCCAAACAGAAGGACTGGAACTTGTAACTAATCTTCAGTCTCTGACTGCTTGTTCTGCAGTGTGGTCTTCTATGTACATGAGAGAACAACTGCAGTCTGCCATTATACACGACCTCACCCACAAACTTAGGGACCAGGTCAAGGTCATAGGAAACCAAGTGGTTCTATTCTTCCAGGTAGGGTGCATAAAAAAATAAAGAAATCTGGAAAATGCATCAGGGCTCTCAATTCTCTATATTTAGGACTGTTCAAAGGCCCCATTCCCAATTAAAAAAAAACAAAACATTTTTTCCCAAAATAAAATCCTTTCTGTAAAGTTGAAAGTGAAGTGTTCTAAAATGAACATAATGTAGCAGTGACATTCCCCCATAAAAAGTGATTGGTAGATGTGACAGAATTGATTTTTTTTCAGGGCTGTGAGAGTGAGATAGAGAGCCTGATACAGGAGTCCAGTTGTAACATAATGGACAATGTGATGAGTGTCTGTCGTATTACGGGGGAACTAGCCCTGGCTACGGACACTAGGATGGTCAGTCTGGAGGTGTTACAGACGGAGGATTCCTCCCCCACAACAGACATGGTAAAGGGGTCACACACAGAGAAAATTTAGATTAAGAATTAAAGATTGCATACTACAGACCAGGTGAAGGTGTCACATGCAGAGGAAATGTTAAATTAAGGATAGAAATGTTAAATTAAGGATAGAAAAATGTGAAAGGATTAGCCCACTACAGACCAGGAAAATAAGTCACACATAGAGGAAATGTTGGTTAGGGGCTATTAAAGGTTCAATCTGTTTCTAAACATTAACCTTTGCAATCAACAGCTTCGTTTTTGCTGCTTTCAATAAATATTTTTTCATCATCAAATTTATTCATCCTCTTACTCACACATTTTACTTTTTAATTCCAGTTTTGTGTACAGGAGTAACATTTTCATACAAAGTCAAAAGTCTCTGATGACAATTTCATTCTTAACAATGAACAGAGCAGTAAAATTAAGTATTTTTCTGTATTGTTCAGCTAAGTTCTGAGGTTTGCCAGTCTTTTCTGATGGGTTGTGATGAACTTGTGGACAAGAGCTTACAAGGAGCCATATCTTCATTAGAAGAACTTGAGACTAAGGCTCAACAACTGGCAGACATTTCAGCAGCCAAAATTGTAAGACATTTCTGTGGTTTTCACTTCAACTTACTGGTTAATTTAGCTGTTATATCCATCTGGAGCTTAGCAGGAAAAAAACTCAGAAATGGATTACCTTGGGATATTGTCTTAATTCTTATATTCTCAGACACATAAGACCTGTCTTAGAATTATATTTAACAACTAAATTGTTTAATATTTCATATTTTCAGAATTTGGGAGAAGTGCCTAGGAGTGTAGAAATCATCATTGGTTCTGCCAAAGACCTGCTAGAAAAATGTCAGGAAGTTCAGGTAAGTATTTCCTTCATAATACAACACTCTGGTTTCGTATGGCCTTTTTTAAAACTAAGGTGTTTGAAGACTGACAACCTGGTATTTGTCCTATAGGTGGAGATAGACATGAGTGTTCGGGAGAGTTTCCAGTCCATTCCAGCCTCATACTACAGCCTGAGCTACAAGCGATGTCGAGGTCTGGTCACTCAGATCAGTAACCTGTTAGAGACCATCAATCTCCTGATGCAGAGTGTTCAGCCTGTTGTTCAAGGTAACTGAATTTGCTAAAATCAATAATTTTTCTAAATATTACATGTATGTTACATGTTGATTCTTTTATAACCTACCATCAAATGAAAATTGCCCTTTCAGATAAGAACCAAAATTCAAATATTTTGTAAAAAGTATATGTACTTTAACTCACTTTAGGTGGGATTAATGAATCTAGTAGACATCATAGGTAATATTTACATGTAAAATAATTCTTCTGAGGGAATCAGGAATATGGTGTATGTTAATTCACTGCTTGCCACAAGATAAAATAATGTACATGTTTGGGTAGTGTCAGTGTGTTGGTTCTGGAGACATTTTTCCTGACATAACCTTTAGCATCTTTTAATTTAATGTCATTGCTGCACTCTTAGTGATTTAGATTTGTAATATATGGAGTGTTTGTAAAGTTAATCTTTCATTGAATTTTTGAATATTCAAATAGCATCTTATATTAAACTTATTTCATGTTGTAGGGAAGGACAGTGATGTAAGAAAACTGTGCAGGTGTGCAGAGTTAATACAAAAAGGTGCTTTGCGATTAATATCTACAACCTCTAAAGACAAGGTCAAGGACACCGACCTGTCAGACATTTCAGTGTTGTCAGACTCACAGTCTGAGCAGCTTGAGCTCGCAGCCAGAGAACTGTGTTCAGCAATCAAGTCCCTCATAGAACAGACAGAGAAAGTGGCCCAGGTAGAGACCCCCACCACTACTCCTCGGGGAAAACGCCTCCTACCTGTCTCACCAGACAAAGCATTGGCATCTTCTCTGAAGAGGAATATTTCATTGATTAGAACTGTGGGAAACAGTGATGTTAGACAAAGATATGTAAGAAAAGACACAGATTCATAATTAAGGGGCAGATAAATTATGTTTATGTACATGTATGATGTATTTATTGTATGCAATTTTAAATTATATTGAAAATTTATGAGGGGATTTTCATATTGCAAAGTTTTTTGCTCCTATTTTGTAGCCTGACACATTGAAAAAAATTTTGAAAAAGGACAGCCCTTAGAAATGCATTCCTATAAAATAAGAGAAATAAAACTTGAGGCATCTAGACTTCTTGTAAGTGGAGAAATTTTAGATAGCTTTTGGGATGCTTATAGGAGCAATGGTTGTTACTGAGATGTATATGGTAATTAAGTTTATTATTTATAAAATCGCATGCAATGTGTTTTGTATACTCCTGCTATCAGTGCTACATGTACGTAATATTTATGATATTTTGCAATAAGGGATTCCTGCACAATCACAGATGTATTTGAATTTCAGAACATTTATAAATGATTAAAAGGACCGAAAAATTAAAATGAAACATATATACTAGCCAAATAACTTTAAATTAGAGCTGTGAATAAAAATTTTGAAAGGTTTTTTAAATAGTCTATTTTTTAAAGGAAAGAGCAATGTTTTTGCCCTAATTTGTTTAAGCAGAATTTTTAGCGAGGATTCAATTTTGGCACTATCAGCGAGTGTGTTGAGGTTGCTAGAATTTAATGTCGATAATATTTGATTTTATTCTATATAGGCAAAACATCTTTATAGCATTATAAAATCACTAAAATTACTTTCTGCTACTTTTAGAAGTTTTTAAGAACAAATTGCCAAATTTGCATCTTGCTAAAAATTCCACTTGTATAGTATCATCTGCATATATTTGGATCTGATTATAGACGAGAATCATACTGCAATATAAAACTGATAGTCCACTACTGTCTGGCTGTTACCTTCCAGATTTTTCCAAAGTGCAATGTGTGTTGATGTTTACAATGTGAACATTGCCCTTTTTACTAAAAATCTTTTGACTTAGTACAATAAAATTTTATTATAAATATACATGTAATCAAATGTAATCGAAATATAAGATTTTTGGTGCCTTACTAAAGCTTAGATACTTGTTGGAGAATAGGACATTTTTTGTCTTGGTTGCAAGATTTTTTGTGAAAAGGGCTACAGACCCCTTGAAGTACCATATGATTTGCTCTTACACAGTTTCACAAAATGCTTCAAAATTTTTCAAAGATTGAGTTGCCTACATATCAAAAATTACTCATACTGAAAAATGTTTTGATATTGTTTGCAATACCTGGTATGTGCCTTGTAAACAAATAAACTTTTTAAAGTTTTTGTATAAATTGTTTGTTTTTAACGAGCACCATACAGAAGGGGATATCTCAACACTCAGAGGTTTGAAAGTAGCTACCAATACATTTATATAAGACGCGCTTTGAAGATCTTTTCTGTATAGCACCTTGTACACATCACATAGTGGTAAGCAATGTACATGTACTTATATTATGATATGTTTATCAGGGTTGTGAAAAAAAAAAATTGTTCTGTTACTCCAGGTGCTGACTGTTCAAGTCTCCAGGAAGAGCTCAGTTGATCATCTATTGAACATGGAATTAAACATTTTTGAATATTTTTATCCCCCCCCCCCCCAAAGGAAGCTATTGTTTTGCACCTGTCAGTTGGTAGACCATGTGTTGTCTGCTCATCATCTTGAGAACCCTTTGCCTGACAGCCAATAAACTTGGTACACTGGTACCCCTTGAAGTGTAGATGACACCTATTGATTTTGAGGTCACAAGGTCAAGGGTCAAATGAACATGGGAAGATATTGTCTGCTTTATATCTTGAGAACCCTTTGCTAAACATAACTTGATACACTGATAACTCCCTGAAAATTAGATAACCCCAGTGATTTCATCAATCTTGGAACCTTAGTTCCCTTTGAGGAGTAGATGACCACTGTTGATATTGAGATCAAAGGTCAAGGGCATATTCAAAATAGGAAAACTATTCATCATTCAATATCTTGAGAACCCATTGCTTGATAGATGCTGGCTACGATTGCTTCATAAATAAGTACTACAGATTTTGAGGTCACACAGGTCAAGGGTTTAATAACAGCAATAGGCATAGGAAGGTTTGTTTGTATGTTGTTTAACGTCCCTCTCGAGAATTTTTCACTCATATGGAGACGCCACCACTTGCCGGTGGAGAGCTGCAAATTTTGTCCTATACTCGGCACTTACGGCCATTGAGCAGTGAGGGATCTTTTTCGTGCCAGCACCTACTGCGACACGGGACCTCGGTTTATACGGTCTCATCCGAAGGACCGGTCTCCACGTCCCACAGTGGGATCAACTCCTTACTCCGCGACTCTAGAGCAGACGCTCTAACCACTGCGCCACGCGGGCGACGGCATAGGAAGGTATTGTCAGCTCAGTTTCTTGAAAACCATTTGTTTACAAACATCAATTTTTATATACTGGTGCCATCTAAGAAGTATTTTACACCTAATGATATTGAGGTTTGATTAAGGTCATATTTAGTATTATGTTTGCACCTGACTAGAAGATGATCAATTGTTTTCAGTAACATTACACACATTCCAAATTTAAAGTTGTTTCCTTTTCAGAATTGCCGCACGGGGGGGGGGGGGGGGGGGGGTATATATTTCTCAAACATTTATTGTTTTCTTTAACATTTAACAAACGACCAATTTAGTTAAGCTGAGGATGTACCTTCAGCTAAAATTGTGAAATTTATGTTCCATTGGTATATATAGATTAGTTTATCATAAAGAAAATGATTTTATTATTTTTTTTTTAAATCTGTTATTTTTCATCACTTCTAGAAGACACTGTCTACACAGCAATGTGTCTTATCCCAAATTATGAAATATGTTTTAATAAGGTCAGACGGCAGGGAGTGGCTAAATAATCGAAATACTGTATATGATCGAATTTACGCGACAACTTAGTTTTGCGAGATAGTTATTTTGGTATTTGATAGCGTCGAAAAATCAAGAATTTTGGTTGTTGTATATCATCTTTAATGATACAAACATATGCAAGATTAAAATTTTTCATAATTATGCGAAAATAAAGTTCTCTCGAACAAAAGGGATTTTGAATTCTTTGCTATTGGACATGTAACAGATATTACTGTACATGTAATTGTACAGGGAAATTAGGTTCCGTAGCTATATTTCATAAAAGTATTTTAAAAAATCATGTTTTTTTATCAATAACTCAGGGCGATATATCAATTAAAATCCATTTTAGTTATGGTATTCCTAAGTACCTTGCAGGCAAATTGTTCGGCATGTCTTCTAACAGTTAAAAATTCTCTCCAATTTTGTTAGGGGGCGTCTATACTGGAAATCGAAAAATAAAAGAATCAGTCAAATTGCCATAACCTCAGAAATCTGGTAAATGATAAAACCTATTCTATTCCCGGGCACTTGTTAATGACGATAAGAGATGTGAATATGTATGGCCGAGTTTGGGTGATGATTTAGAACTTTAGAGGTTTACATCACACTACTTAAGACCAAGGCTATGTATATGAGAGTCCTGACACAGCCATGATCGAGGTCATCGGAATAAAAAAAAGTACGACGATTTACTTAGTAACAGTGAAGCATTCAAAACTCATGCATGCATGCATGTGTGTGCACGTAATTCAATAAAATTTATCAATACCACTTTGAGAGAGATATGCTTTTTTTTCTGTACAACTAACAGAAAATGATTTGCAAGTCTTGTCTTGGAAATGCTAATTATTTTTCCACTAGTATGAAAGGTCAGTTACATGACATCAAGAAGCAAATCCGGAAGGAAAGTCCCTCCTAACATCTAGCATCTCGTTCAAAGGCACCACACTTTTTTTGTAATAAATTACATTCCGAAATACCTCGACATTTTCAAGAAGTTTTTCGTGTGATAAAAGGTAACTGTAAATTTCCAAGGACATAATAGGACCATGACACTATTGCATATCGAAAGCGTTACGCGTATTAAAGAATATGTTAAAATACTTTAGATATCATCGAGTGCAAAGGTATACAAAAGCTTATTCAATATTAAGTTCAAACTATGGGATTTTTTTTTGAAAGGTGTTATAATGCAAAGAACAGAGGAAAGGCGCCAAATAATGCCTAAATTTTCACTTTGCTTTATAAAGTCTTGTATTTCAGCGTTATAAAGTCTTGTATTTCAGCGTTATGAAGTCTTGTATTTCAAATATTTTCCCTGTAGTTTGATTCTAGTAGGATTTCGCACAAAGCGTTACATGTATCTATATGATTTGTCACTGGCAAGATTCAGTAGAAATATTCGGAAAAAAAAGTTTGGGCACACGCTTGGAAATTGGATGTAAACCTTGCACTATTTTAAATGTGAACATAAAACTGTGCAATTAAGAAAGAAAAACAAAAACAAAATAAATTGACGGTTATATCTGTTTAATTCGCTGAAAGTGACACAATTAATTTACGATATGGCAACCTATTTAAAGAACTGTCTAATGCAGATTGGTGTATTTTGATTGGTCATATTAGCATATATTATTGCGGCCTGTACAAGGCCGTACAACCTCTGGTTTCTTGGAAATGTTTTTAAAATTATTTTTCATCAAGTACAAAATCTAGCTTGAATTAGATGTTAGATTAGCTCGCATGCTCTCATATGATGTAATATTAAAAACAGTGTGATTTAAGGAGGCCGACTGGGGTTTTCATTGCGCAATACTTCGCGCAGCATAGTAAAATAAAGCGTATTTACTCTTTTAAAGCAACTAGTTTTACATAATTTATAAAAAATAACAAATTTAGGAAATATGAGGTCAAAAAATCTAATTACGTTTTTAATTAACTGATTTTTTTAACGATTTTTCAAATGATGGGTAGAAAGACGTCGTAATAGTGTGTTTTTGACGTTATGAATAACCAACAGTGGCTGTCAGCTATCATCCGCAACTGTACTCGGCAATGCTGGTACCGGACATCCATGACTGTACCTGCTCACTAATATCAAAAACGGAATGTCAGAGCAAGATTTTCCGGATTGTTCAACGTATTAAACTATATGTTGTTGATTAAGTATGGATTGTTTTTTAATGAAAAATACGAAATGTGTTAATATGGAGGAAAGAAAATTTCTGATTTTAAATAAATCTACTTTATGGAAGGCTGTAATCGCCAAAACGGTAACGATAACTGGCTTAGTGAATATATGTAAGCTTGACTATGCCTAAATCCATTGTATGAATCGCTATTATCTCTAAAAAGTAACATTTACTACAGCGTACATTTTGTATATCTATGACTGTATCCTGTGCCTGGTATACAACATCTGCAACTGTACCTGTGCCTTATAAACAGCATCCATGACTGTACCTGTGCCTTATAAACAACATCCATGACTGTACCTGTGCCTTATAAACAACATCCATGACTGTACCTGTGCCTTATAAACAACATCCATGACTGTACCTGTCCAGTACACACACTTTATTCTACATCCATGACTGTACCTGCGTCTTATAAACAACATCCCTGACTGTACCTGTGCCTTATAAACAACATCCCTGACTATACCTGTGCCTTATAAACAACATCCATGACTGTACCTGTGCCTTATAAACAGCATCCATGACTGTACCTGTGCCTTATAAACAACATCCCTGACTGTACCTGTGTCTTATAAACAACATCCACGACTGTACCTGTCCAGTACATACACTTTATACTACATCCCTGACTGTACCTGTGTCTTATAAACAACATCCCTGACTGTACCTGTGCATTATAAACAACATCCGTGACTGTTCCTGTGCCTTATAAACAGCATCCATGACTGTACCTGTGCCTTATAAACAACATCCATGACTGTACCTGTGCCTAATAAACAACATCCCTGACTGTACCTGTACCTTATAAACAACATCCATGACTGTACCTGTCCAGTA